GGTTCCTATTCGAAAAACCGAAGTTTATATTTCACAGAACACAGGATCATCCTTAAGTGGTACAAAAAATCTCTCATATACCTATTCGAAAATATAGTCTTAACGTGTTTTTAAAAATTCCGTATGCATAATTTAAACATGAAAATAGGGTGAGCAATGCATGCTTCAAAAAACATCCTTGTACCTTTACTTACTTACATGGCTATACATACTATAGTACCTACAGGGGCGAACCTAGTGGGGGGGTAGGGTGGTCATAATACCCCCCCAATAATTGGTTTCTTAACTTTTGAGTTGGCCATTTTACATTTATGAAAAACTCAATAACTGTACATAATGGCCAACTTATAATTTGTATACGATTGACGATTGTGATTTGTGATGGTTATATTGACTAGAATCAAGGTTATTAGAATAATATAGTGAATATACTAATATTATTATACTGTCTGAACTAGAAAATTATCTATTGTCTATTATCGGAAAAATAAGCAGTAAATACTAAATTGTTATCAGTGCGTCAGTAATAATAAGAGGAATAGGTGCAATGATGAGGGAGTTTTAAAATCCCAATGTTAATGATACCAGATACTATAAATAGCCAACCGAACGTGGTTGACTTGATGTTTTCAGTCTATGGCATCTAATTTGTTATAAATGTATGTATCAGTACTGCAGGCTTACGATACCTACCACTATTATTTACAATAATTATTATACGTCACGTTATGTTTATTTGTAATATTATGTAAAATTTTCCTAGTAGTTTTCACAAGCGCCGGGAAAAACAACATAAAAATTAAGGAAAAACGGGAATTTTTACGCAAAATCAGTTTTCCAAAAAATCGATTTTGGTTTTTGGTGTAACTTTAAAGCAAATGAACGTATATACATGAAATTTTCACTGGTTGTTGATATTTGCATTTTCTATACACGATAACATTTTCAAAATATTTTGATTTATTTTGAACTGTTTAGGAACATTTTCATTTTCCATTTGTTTTTAGTTTTTTTTCTAAAAATATCAATAAAATGTTATTTGTTGGTTGCGAAAGCTTGAAAATTTTATAGAAGGCTCCTAATATATTGGTTCAAAGGCAGATGAGAAATATTAAAAATCCTTAGTCACAATTTTTTTTATAAGCATTTAAAGTTCAAAAATTGACAAAATATGGAAAAATCACGAAAATTAGCAAATTATTTTGAGTTAAGAATTCTTAAAAAATTTTCTTTTTAAATTTAAGATTTGAAAATGTAATATAAGATTACTCATAAGTTTGTCTACCTTTATCAATAAAAAATCTCTACCGGAATGTCAAATTAAATTTTTATGAGCGTATGAAATTCAAATTTTTACAACATTGGATGTTCACTCGATTTCTCATCTAGCGATTTCCTTATTTTGTTGTAATTCAAAAACGAATAACTGTAGATACATGAAAATTTCACTGAATGTTTATATTAGCATTTCCTATACACCATACAATTTTGAAAATATTTTGACTCTTTTTGAGCTGTTTATGGACATTTTCAGTTTTCAATTTTTTTTAGTTTTTTTTTCTATAAATATCAATAAAGTTTTATCTGTTGGGCCAAAAAGTGTAAAAATTTAATACAAGGGTCCTGATAGATTGTTACAATAACAATTGAAAAATTTTAAAAATACATAGACACAATTTTTTTTTATAAGCATTTAAAGATCGAATTTTGACAACATTTATAAAAATCTCGAAAATTATCAATCATTGTAATTAATAAATTATAAAATGTTCAGTTTTCATAGCTAAGGATTGCAAATTTAAAACAAAGGTTCTCATAAATAGTTCATACTGTAACCAAAAAATCTAAAAAATATATGAACACAGTTATTTTTTACAGACATTTTAAATTCAAATTTGGACGAAATTACATAATAAAAAACCTAGAATAACTATTTTAGTTATTTTGTTGTGATTGTATAATATTTTTCGTGGGTACTTGAAACTTCTAAAGTATACTACTATATATCTATGATAGTACCAGGGTTTGTTGTTGGTGTATTACGCGTTATAAGTACCTAATGGATATTGTGATATGATTAATTTGGAATTCATTATAGGTCAATTTTTTTTAATACCATAGATAAGTATATAATATGTCTTATACCTATAGAAGGACATACCGTCTCCGCTCAGAATCGTTTTTCTTATACAATGATATAATATCATTGAATTCAAATGTAATACCATCCATTATACAGTGACCCTCTTGAACCTACTGTACAGCAGAGCGACACCCACTTGCCCACCTTTTTATTATTTACTTTGTTTTGTTTTTTTTTTTTTTTAACATTATTTATTATTTTATTGCAAATGTGGTACTTACCTAATGGAATAATTGTAATGGATATCTTTATATATTATTATAAACAATTTTCATAATCTATTAGTATAAAAGCTTGAATTTTTAATTTACTTAAATAATTTAAACATTTTAACTGTTTTTACGATGAAATGACTACGACAAAATAACAAAAACAAGTTGTCCTGGATCAATTTTTAGAGTTGGCCAAACTACTAACTTTGGCCCCCCAATAAAAACCTCCTCGGTACGCCCCTGAGTACCTATACAATAATATTATAATGTTGATATTATGCGAAAACGATTTCTAGAAAATCTTGCGAATATTAGGTACATAATATATCATTAATGCAATAATATTATGTATTGAATTTGTTTGAAGATGAAAGCATTCCAGTACACGATCGTTGTGGTTTTTGTCTGGCTGCAGCTGTTCGCGTGTTTCACCGACGGAAGCCCAGTGAAATCGAATAAACCCAATGCGGCGGCACAACGACGCAGCGGAAGCGGTTACGTCGATTTCGGAGCACACACCGGCCCATTGGGCTCGTACGGATGGTACGCCGACTTTCCTGCCAACAGAAATAATTAACAAGTTTAGGTACGGGTTTTGTTCGTAAATCAGATTTTATTATTATTACAATATCCGTAAAAATAAATAAATATTTTACGTAAGTCTTATATTTTCATTGTAAATACCTTTTATATTTTATTTTTTCCCGAAAACCGGGGAGAGAACCACGATTTGCATTACAGCTCCCCGGCCCCCATCGTTTATTGACAAACACAACAAGTTATCAATTATAACAATAGTACCAACTATAGTGAAAGTATGCAATTGATGAATTAATGCACATGAATTAATGCACACACAATATTGCTGATACCAAAATATAAATAACAGATTTTTTTTTTTTAAAAGAATTATATACAATCTGTACGATTATGTACAATCTACTACTAATATTAACTTAATACCTACATATTATGTAATAAAAAATGTTTGTACAATGCTTGTATTTAATTCTAATATCTCAAAAAGAGTCAAAATATTTTAAAAATGTTACCATATTATATGGGAAATGGCAATATAAATATTTGACGAAAATTGCAATAGTGTCTACGCTTATTAGTTTTTGAGTTACACCAAAAAAATAAATCGATTTTTTCAAGGATGCAGCTGATGTTGAAAATCGGAACATTTTTAATACCCCAAAATGTTAATGACTGAAAAATAAATAAATAAAAAAACAAACATCATTGTAAATACAATGCATTCAACCGGTGTCACAACGATCACGAGTGATTCGGGTGTGACGCGTCTCGTACTTACATGATGGCATGATGGTATAGTCGGTTAAGCCGTACCTACTAGTGGAAGTGAATTTTTCAGAAGGCGATCGTACGCTTGCAATGTGGATTAGGTATATATAATAGATAAATTGTATTATAATATATTACCTATACTATTATATGCATGTTACATGTGAACCGCCACAACACCATTAATATACCAATACACATAATGATTGTTCTGTCATCTGTGTTTCATATTACATGAACAATGAACATAATGATTTCATTTGCGATGATGCATCACCATAGCCTATGGTCCATAGGCGTGCGCAAGGGGATGCCGCCATGCCGGGTATGACATGGTATCCCCTGCAGGGGTGGTTTAACTATACAGTTTTTAGTTGTAAATGTTTTGATTATAAATGAGAATCATGAACTAAGACAGTACCTATCGTATCTTGGTTCAAGAATTTAAAAATGTTGAATGTTTTTTTCTTATAATTAAATATTGGGAGTCAAATATTAATTACATTTCATAAATTTAATTTCGATTAATTAGATTATCTATTTTTGTCATTATTATATTATTATAATATGATCAAATGTGTGTAGGTTTTTATACTGTTACTTTATTGGAATGAAATCACAGTACAAACTTTTCAAATTAAAATATCTAAAACCAATTATTAAGCTAAATAAAATGCATGCTAATTTCTTTTCGCATTATATGGCGAGTTATTTGTACCTATTAAGAGTTTTTGGGGAGTTATTTTTTGTATTGAGCTTGTTGTGTTTAAGAATACCAGCATACCCTGCGAAAAAAAGTCTACGCACGCCTATGTGCATTACTAGTTTACTACATAATTAATGTTTACAGATCGATCGTAGCGCTCGAAATTTGGGGACAAAACAAATGAAATTTAAACTTTTTAATAATAAAACCGAAACTTTTAAAATGTATAAATCAGGTAGGATATCATGCTTATCTAGGGTGTTAGAATTGTTGAATGATTTTAACTGGATTGCTTTGATTCCATATTATATAGTATAGATCATAATATAGTAGGTATATTATGATCTAAGCCCTAAGGGACAGAAGGGGCAAACTATAGGCAACTCATTAGCCATAGCCTTATCATTGGCCAGTACCCATTTGTGTATTATCTATAGGAAATTGGATAACATTAGATATTAGATGATATTGGATAATGGATAGTCGTGGTATTCAGTATTCACATTAATATTCAAGCTTTGTATTTTGTAATATTGTATAAAAATCTGTATACAAATTCTGTCTAGTCTCTAGTCCTGTGTTCATTGATTTAGTGGATTCGCGTCACACGTGTTAATAGTCACTTTAAATTATGGTTTGTCTTGTACACTTTATTGACAGTGGATTTTATTTAAAAAGCAATTACACCTGGTTAAATTTTATAGTAATTTAAATAAGAATTTGTTGTTTTTAAATTATTTTTCAGTCGACAATTTTTGCTGCCCGACAATTTTCCACTTCGGCCGTTACCAATCACATAATGAAGCTGACCCGTCTGCGTGTGGTGGACAACAGCACAATTGGCAAGCAAGCGATGGCTGAAGGTAAACCCCCACGTTGCATACACGTTTATAATAAGAAAGGCATTGGCACGATCGGTGACAAAATAATGGTTGCAATCAAAGGTGAAAAAGTAAAAGCTATCATTGTAGGCTGCGTCAAGGAACAAAAACCCAATATTCCCAGGTTTGACAGCAACAATATAGTGTTGATTGATGATAATGGCACACCTCTTGGCACACGTATAAATGTTCCGATTCCAATTGTTCTTAGAACTATATTAAAAGAAAAAACTTTCTCAAAAGGAGCTGATTACACTAAATTGTTGGCCATCGCTTCAAATTATGTATAAATAGTAGTGGTAGATATATATTATAAAATTAGTTGTATATTTTTTCAATGTTATTTGTGTACTGTAAAAATAAAATTGTATTAGAAACTATTTATTTTTTTTTAACATTTCCTGGTGGGTACAGTATGGGCCAGGTAATAAAAAAATCAATGGACGCTCAAAGTTGATTGTTAAACATGTACATGCATTATTTTGGAGAAAAAAACTGTTTTCAATATGGACCTGAGCCCTGGAACACTTACACTCTTGATGTCTATGGGTTTAGGGTTACAGTGACACAGTGTAATCAATTGTAAAATAACAATAATAATGAAATGGATGTATTTATTTAGTTAAATTCAGACAAGGAAATAGTAATGAGAATTAATATATAAAAGGGAATTTAAATTATCATATTTTGTTTCAACATTAATGTATTTTGGATAATGTTTAGACAAGAAAAGTATGCATTTTATGTCTTGTTATCTTGGTTATTATTAAATATGTTTTTCTGAGCAGTATGAAAATCTCAATTAATATTAGATTAGAACATAAGCGTAATATTACTCTGGTAGTATGGTTTAGCATTACAGAATTTGTTTTTGCATTTTTCTGCGATGAAAATAATTCAGGTTTAATACTTAAATAAAACATTTACCATTGATTGAATATTGTATGTTAAAGGGGCTCCAGTCTATGAAAAACAGGGGATTTTTAGACCAATGAGCTAGACAAAACTGGAGGAATTTGGTTTGAGGGATTTTATTTTTGAAAACGGATCATGATTGAATAACAAGTTTACTAGGTTATGCCAGAGGCAAATTTTATTTTTTCAGCTGTGATATCCAACAATAAAAAATATGATATTTTTGTATTTATAGTATTCATCATGACACTAACAATAATTGGAATATTAAAAATCGCCTCTAGCATAACCTAGTAAATTTTTAATCAATCATAATCCGTTTTCAAAATTAAAATCCGTCAAACCAAATTCCTCCAGTTTTGTCTAGCTTATAGGTCTAAAAACTGTTTATTTTAAATTCAAAAAAGTTGATCATAATTTAAAATCTCCATCAATGCCTGCACGTAAGTAAGTTAATTGATGACGAATATAAATAACGAACTATATACTGGTCGGTATTATGCGGGCTTACTGTTATAATTCAGGACATTTTCTAGGAAAATTGACCGAAAACGATTACAGATAAAACTCACACATAATAATCTTCAATTACTTTGCACACACTTACAAGTCATTTTAATGTCATCATGTTAAATTGCCTATATTAATTTCCTTAAAACACAACCGACTGAAGCCGCCTTAACATTAAATACAATTCCTAAATCCCTATCATGTTTAAAACATTGGTGCAAGCATTGAATAAATGTCATCAGTTTATATATGTTTCTAATAGTTATAAACAATGTTATAATTATATTTTATTAATTATTATGCAACTTCAAAAGATTAGATTTTCAGTTATTTTATTATTTATAAGTTGTAATAAAGTGTGTTATGAATTATGATGAATGTTTTGTAGAATAAATTTTCAATATAATATATTTATGCAAAACTGTAAACTTTGATTAGTTGTAAAGAATGCATCTAACAGGAATAATATAAAAAAAAACAATATAACATGAAAATAATGTATTTAAAAAATATAAAAATGTTTCATATATATATTATAAAAATGAATTTTTTTCACCTTGTTATTTTAATATTTATTTTTTTATATCACATTGAATTCAATTTCATATTGTTGGTCCAAACCAAGGTAACAATCTGACATCATATAGAAAGTCCAATTTAAAAAACCTATAAAAAAGAAAAAGTAATACAAATATTAAAATTATAATACATAATTTTATTAGATTACTAGTTTCAAAAATAATTTGATGGATCGGTTTAATTTCTCAATGTTTATTATAAGTACTGTTCAAACAAAAACAAAAAATTTAATTTTTATAGTTATTTACCAGGTGTTGTGGGTGTATTAAATGCTAGTCTGCTGGAAGTGGTTCTATATCGGTTATTGGCATTACGTTTCAGTGCTATCAGCTCCCATTGTTCTATTGAACCAAGAATCATAAACCAACCAACATCTTTTGGTTTGGAAAATTTTGGTGCATATGCTTTTGATGGTATTACACGATTGAGGATTTTTACCTCTACAACTAATGTATACTCCAATCCTGCCAAAATGTCTATTCGTTTACCATTCTCTACAAGTTTCTATAAAAATTATAAATATTATAGTTTTCATTCAGTTTCAATTGATAAATGTTTGAAATTCAATTGTGTGGAAATATTTTCTACCTTTTGAGCTTCTTCACTGTCAGAAAAATTGCCATGAATAAACAGACGCACTTCTACAACTGGCATATCTATAATAGTTTTAAATGCCTAAAAAGAAAAAGAAACTTTTACAACTTAAAAAATAAATACAAATTGGAATATATTTAATAAATTTCACTTTTTCAATTTCTTCGTGTTCAAGTTGAGTTTTTAACATAATTTCTTCAAACAGCTTATAACTTTTAAGTGCCATATTGCACAAATGGGGTAAGCAAAGCATCGGCAACACTTGTGATGGTATCAGATGTTTTTCTACATCAGGTAAAGTGGTTACAGGTGGGTCAGTCACCCATCGGGCTTGAATAATCATTTGCATCAATTGAACTAATCTTAAACACAGCAACAAGTAACCAGCTTCTGCGCTAATATCTATCATTGCTTGTAGAATACGTATAGATTGGTCTAATACAGACTTGAGATCAGTTATATAATCTGAACATGGCATTTTTAAATGGGAGAAATGTGCTTGAAGCAAAATCAATGTTTTGGTATGAGAACATTCATAAAGACGGCTACCAACATCAATAGGACACTGTTTGTCTAATTCACTGTGTACAAAATAAAAGTGTTATGAAGAAAAATGATTTTTTTTATTTGACTTACGTATTCAGAAGATCTTCGTTATGTCTAACTGGTAGTAAACTAAACTCCTCGGCGTCGACTAAGACTTTTATTAAATCATCCATACTAAGTTCACCTTTAAGTCTCTCTTTAAATGTTTTAACTGTTTTATGTTGTAAATAGTAATAAGAAGAAATATGGCCCAATGGAGTAGGTCTTACAGTACGCTGATCCTAAATTTAAATGTGATTAATTGTTTAGCTCTATAGTAGCAAAGGATGACTATGTAAATGTACCTCATCTATTTCCACACAATAACTAGAATACAGAGTTCCAATACATCGTTCAACTAAATCAGAAAGAAATTTGTTTATAGAACTTTCCTCCAAGCTATGTAATCCGTAATATTCTGGGTTTTTCATTAGTCTTTGTATAAGATATGTCCAAGTCAAATATTCAATGGCATCTTGTTTCGTCTTAATAGTTCCAGCCACTATTTCAGCATTGAAATGGTCAGGCAATACGTCTAACAAAGATGATTCAACAGGAAAAGGTTCATACAAAAATTTTTTATAAAAAGTTTTTTTTACGTCATGGACCTGAAAAAAAAATGTATCATAAATTAGTTAACTAGTTAGTTTAATTTTTTTTAATCTTTTATTTTTACCATGATGAGTGCTATTCCCATGTTATCATATTGAGGTCGTCCTGCTCTTCCCATCATTTGTAACACATCTGTAATTGGCATGTCAACATATCTTTTGAGTTTGCCATCATAAAATTCAGTACCTTTTACTATTACAAAGTGTGCAGGGAAATTAACACCCCATGCTAAAGTTGAAGTAGCAATTAAAACCTTAAAACATATAAAATAATATTATTGTTATTTGGTAATATTTAAATAGAGAGGGTGACATCTTACTTGAATATGTTGGTTGACAAATAATTCTTCAACAATCTTACGGTCTCTATCTTGTAATCCAGCATGATGTAAGCCTAAACCAAAAGCAAGACAAAGCTTCAAATTTGGATCTCTAATATTTTCAATGATTTGATCCATTTCCTACAAAACAATAATTAAAATAACCTTTTTTTTTTTTCATAAAAAATAATAAATGCGCAATAAATTTCTCACATAATCGCTTTTGCGAACCCACTGCTTAGGGTTATCTTCCACACCTAAATATGCAATCAAATCCAATGCGGTTAGTCGGGTTTGTCTCCTCGACGACACAAAAATCATAACTGGTTGTGTTGGGGAGTGTTGCCTAATGGCTTGATAAATAGGTTTGTTCATGGTTGCCATTCTTGGACAATAATTTCGTCCAGCATAGCCACTGATGTGTACTTCTAGAGGAACTGGCCTCACAGATGGCCGGAAATTGTAAAGGCCCATTTCCCCTATGTGTAACCAAGCTGCAAGATCAGCAGCAGTTGACAGAGCGGTTGTCAAAGCTACAAGGCGAGTATGTTGTCCTGTATGAGTTGATATAAAATTTAACCTAGAGATTATTATCTCTAATACTGGACCACGATCTTCACCCAAAAGATGGACTTCATCAAGTACTACTAAAGCCACTTGGCGGACATAGTTACGGGTTTGCCAACTACGAGAAACACCATCCCATTTTTCTGGAGTAGTAACAATTACAGATGAATTTGAAATAGCTCTTATGTCAGGTGTGACGTCACCTAAAAAAAATTAATTATTTGGAATTAATACCACAAAATCAAGTAAATCAATTTTTTCTATTTTTTGATTTAAAAAAATAATAACTAGGATAATGAATGTATAAGAGTTAAAATAATCATTATGTTTATTATACACTATACAACTAATATTACCTGTTAATTCTACAACGGATTTTTTTAATTTCTCTTCTAATCTGATTTTCCAATCTTTCATACGTTCTCTCACGAGTGCCTTTAATGGAGCTATATATACTACCTAAAAACATGATTTTATTCAACAAAAGCAAAATACTTATTAAATTATCTAATCATTTATTAATACTTTGGCATCTGGCTGTTCATTGAACACTCTAAACATAGCAATTTCAGCAGCTATTGTTTTACCAGATCCGGTAGGCGCTCCTAACAGTACGTTATTGTCAGTATGATATAAACAGTGAAATATTTGTGTCTGTATTGGATTAAAGTGTGTAAAACTATATAAAGACTGATAACCCTGATTTTTAAGAGCAGATAATGGTAATGGTTGAAGTTCCAATAAATCTAAAACACAATTTTTTTTTTTAAATAAACTCATTAAAAGATTTTTGATTTATATACCTGTCACTGAAGCATGGCTATGTGGTATTATAAGATGCTGGAATGTTAATGGTGTAGTGAAAGTTGTACCTAACCATCGGTCTGAAGTACAATGTAAAATATATTGTGATGGTAATGGTTCGACCAAGGGTATGGTAAATATCAACTTTTGTGTTTCTTTTCTAATAACCTTAAAAATATACACATAATCTTAAGAAAATGCGCAGGAAATTAATGGAAATAATATTATTTTCAGACCTGATTTTTAGTAATAAGAAACTGTTCCCAATGGTATATCATATCTGTTTCCGGATCTTCGATCCAAATCCAAAATGCAACTGATGTTTTACCATGAAACCTATCATTCCATCTGAATTACAAAATAATACAATTTATAGATATAAGAAATAAAAACACAATTTTATAAAACTTGTTTTGTTACATACTCAAATTCTGGGAATAGTTCTAAATTTATTCTTAAAATAGTTCTAGTAATAGGTTGAATACTTTCAGTAGCTTCAATATATGGAAGTTGCATGGCACACTTTTTAACAGCAGCACCTACATTTTGATTTCTTAGTATTATACCCAATTCTTTTGCATCCATTTCTCGAATGCGGCTAAATGATAATTTTCTTTGCTCAATTTTATCTATAATTTCCCAAGGAAGAACATCAGAAAATTGTCGTAATTCAGATTCAAATTCCCATTGTGTCATTTCAAACATTTGACAAAGTTCCAATAATTTAGCTGACATCATAGCGTTATTACGACGTAAAACCATGTCAAATAATGCCCGTGCAATTCTTGTCGCATTCTATTGAAAACAAATTACTTATACATCTTTTTGTTAAAAAACAACAACAAAATAAAAATTATTAATATACACTTTAAATTTACCTGTGAGATATATACCAGGTCAGATATTAATGAAAAAGACTTAGCTCTACCGCGTGCAAGATATGTTTGTAAAAGTATATTTACTTTACCATTCACGTTTACAGCTGAACTCTGACATTCAATGTGACAATATTTACGAGCCAATGTCTCTAACTCAATAACTTCATCATCACGAACCTTTGAAATATAATTAAAGTTAATATTAATGTTAATTATACAATTTAGTAAACATGTATAATATATATTTATTATAATAAACCTTTAACTGATCAAACTCTTTTGCACTAGAAATCATTGATAATATTTCTGACATATTCATAAAAGGCTTTAGACATTGATTAAATATTTCAACACTATCATAACTAATATAAAAATGACTAGCTGTGCGACCCATATCTGTAAATAAAATAATTATAATTTAAATATAAAAGTATTCTTCTTAAATAATTCAAATTAGTAATTATTAATGAACCTGTAGATGAGAGATCTCCAGTTCTTTCGTTATAACGTAACATTTGTGCTCTATCTAAAGCCATTGCTGCATTTATAATAAACTCTTTTCTTTTGTTGACCAACATTGGATCTAACTGTAAGTTATAACAATAAAATAGTTAAGTAATATGTACTTATAAATAACACTGTACTATTAAGTGTTCATTTACTTCAACTTCTTCAAGCGATATGCCATAGACATGAGGATTTATACGCATTCTGACAAATAAATAAGTATAACTAAGCCACATAACAGCTTCCTCGACATTTGATATTGTCCCTAATACAACCTATCAATTGTAAAAAAAAATTATTAGATCCAGTGCTTATAGCAACATTTTATATTATTTGTTAATAGAAAAATAGCTAGAACTTATTATTCAATAATACATACCTCAGCATTCAAATTATTAACAAGATGTTGTACAAAACAACTTTCAATCGGTATTTGATTGGTAAGTAATGACAAGTATTTGTGAAGTTTGGAATGTGGGGTAATAATCATTCCATGTCCAGAAGTATCAAATTGAGGTCTTCCAGCTCGACCAAATATTTGTAAAACGTCAAGCATACCCAGATCTATAAATGTTCCATGCTTTGAATCATATATTTCTGTCCCCTATAAATTATTTTATTTATTTATTTAAACACATTAAAACCAAGCATGATATTATGTTTCATAATCAACTATGGAATTATATTTTTAAAATTTTATAACATGGTTTTGTCTTAAAAAATAACTATGAAAAATTGAATAGGTTTATTATTATATTATATTATTTACCTTAATTATAACTGCATGAGCTGGAAGATTTACTCCCCATGCTAAAGTTGCTGTGCACACCAATACCTTAATAGCACCTTCAGCAAAGTACTTTTCTACTAGGTTTCTGTAATATAGGTAAACAATAATTATAGTATTATGATTAGTGTAGACTTGTATTACGTATTTTTATTAGCATTCATTATAAATACTAGTAATTACATAAAAATTTTAATAATGTAGTACTAGTATTTATGATCAATAATATAATAACATAAAGATCTGATGCAATTATACAACAAAAAACTATGAAATGTTTCACATAAAATGCTCTTAAAGTTCTTAACATATATATATATATTTTTTAAATGCTCAAATTTTTACTACCAATTACAAGTATGTACAATTTAATAAATTAATCTATTAAGAATATTTAAACAAAATAATAAAAGAAAAATAAGTAAGGTCTTTTCTCTAGGTAACCCCCTAAGTCTTTTCCCATTAATTTTCCTTCCAAAGCTTTCTTTAAAATTTAATTTGACCTCTAGACATGGGCATGCCCACATGATTTGTTTACTAATAAGCAAGGTTATTAAAATCTCATAGCACTTGCATATTTCTTATGATATGCTAAAGAATAGCAGAGTAATCTAAAAATTTCATGATACAGAGAACTCAAATTAAAAATTTTATATTGCATATTTTCCGATTTTTAGATTATAGTGATAGTTTTGGACTTTTTGAGATGTTTTGCATTTTTACCTATTTTTGAATCAAAATTGGTCATATTTTATTTTAATTATATTTTAGTAAACATGTTTTTAGATTATTGTCTGTTGAATTTTCATAGTAAATATAATATAGATTAAATAAATAGCATGTTTGACACGCTGATGTGACGGGGGCAACATTTTTAAGGCATATTTATGCAACTTTAAGTGCTATAAACTCCCAACCCTGCTAATAAGGTATGTATTGATTCTGGGTTTTCGGTTAATGTGTTGTAAGTAAGTAAAATAAACCTTTTCTATCTACATTCAAAGTTTTACATGTTATCTACATCTCTCACTCCAATAAAGCTGCATACTCTTAAAAGATAAGCATGTAAAACCATAAATTATTTACCTGTCAGATCTCAAAAGACCAGCATGATGAACAGAAAATCCACTGTTTAATAATTCACTTAATTCTTTTGAATGACAACGCTCAAAAGCCTTTTTTGCTATACCTATTCTATTAGAGTCTTGAGGTAGGAATGCAGTCTGGTGATTTTTCTGAGTTGAAAGTTCTCTAAAAACATTAGCTGTTTTTATGGTAGCATTACGAGCATGAACAAACACCATAACCTTAATACACAACAAACAAAAATTAAATTACTATTTATTATTCAATACTGCCAAATCAGCTTACCTGATGTCCTTTTTGTACCATATCATATACTTTATCATAACAAACAGTATCCATTTCCTGTACCATTTTTACAGTCTTGCTACCACGAACCCCAATAAATGTTTGAACTAATGGCACTGGTCGAAATCGTCCATCAAAATAAAATAGTCCTTTATACAGATTGACTCTTAAGAAACGTGCTATGTCTTTATAATTTGGTAATGTAGCAGATAAACCAACAATTCGAATCATGCTTTGGGAAGATTCGACTTGTCTTAAAGTACGTGCAACAAGAGCTTCAAGGACTGGACCACGATCACCATGCAATAAATGTACCTCGTCTATAATTAATAGTTTAACTAAACTTGTTAACGCAATATCCCCTAAAAACCAAACATATTAGAATTTAAGATATAAATAATATAATATATAATAAAAATGCCTAACCAGTTCCTTTACGAGTAGCTACATCCCACTTTTCAGGAGTTGTAACTAATATTTGAGTGTTGAGCATTTCTGTTTTGGTAAGTGACATGTCACCAGTAAATTCACGAACAGAAATTCCTAGGTTAGAAAGGCGTTTAGAAAAATTTGCAGTCATTTCAGCTGCGAGAGCTTTCATTGGAGCTACATATACAATCTGAAATACAATTTTAAATAATAAGAAGATAAATGATGATAAAAAGGGAAAATGTATACCTTAAATTCATTTTTGTGTATTTCATTATTCCTAATGTGTTGTTTAATTTGATGGATTATGGTCAACAAAGCAACATTAGTTTTTCCAGCTCCAGTTGGAGCACATACTAGTAAATTTTCATTAGTGTTATATGCTGCATCAAAAACTACTGATTGTATTCTATTAAGATTAGTAATTCCATGAAATGCTTTCTGCCCAACCTTTAAACATAAAAATAAATATTAGTTATAATATTAAATGTCTAGCATACAATCAAATAACTTCATCAAGAGATTTAATGGAAATCAATTCTTTTCCAACAGTCAATTCTTGTGTCATTTTTGTAACTGGAATATAAACTTCTTCATGTGTTCGATGGTCTGTTCTTTTGGCTCCCGCAGGTATAACGCATGATTCTCCAGATATGTAACCTTTTTGATAAATATCATATTATGTAGAAACATAAAATTAAAAATTAAAATTATAAGAAATACTTACAACTAGATACTTTTGATTCAAAATTCAAATCATATACATGAGGGTATTTCTGAGCTGCAGGTGCTTTTCTACTTTTTGGGTCAATAAATGTAGGAACATTTGCTGCACTTGTCCTTTAAACAATAACCATAATTTTACATTTTATTTCACAATTAAATCAGATTTAGTATATTTAAATCACTAACGTTTTAGAAACCATCTTTAAAATCTCATCATCTGAATCTGAATCCTGTCGGCGATTTATTTTTTGGCAAGCTTTTTCTTCTTTTCTTAATTCTTTTCTAAGTAATTTATCTTCTTCAGTTTCAATAGTAATCATTTCCATATGTCTGGGTCTTTTTTCCATTTCTGTTTAAAATAATGAAGACAATGAGGAATTTATATTTTAAAAATAATCTACACATTTTCATACTTAAATTCATTGAAAGCAAAGATTTTTTTTCATTTGTTGCTAAACACTGTTTCAAAATATCTTTTCTGTGTTTCAAAAGGGTTTCAATGAGTGTGAGTCTTGCAAAACCAAGCAGATTAAACAACTATAAAATATTGAAACAAATTAAATTAAAAATATAAAAACGATACATTTTTCAAAAACTGTACACTTTTTAAATTTAATACTATATTATACTACTATACATCAATAAATATATTATCAATTTATGTTTTTAAAAACTGTGTAATAAAAAATGTATGTTAATAACTAACTTATAGAAATCTATAGAGAATAGAAATTAATTGCTAGTGTTAATATGTGTACATAAAGAGGGAACAAAAAAGTTCAGTTAAATTATGAACTAGTTTCTTAGTTTCAAGTTTATTAATAAATAAAATCACTCATATTTTTATCTGTCCGTATAATTCTATTAAATGCACTATTGGGAATATATATATATTTTATTATTGTCTATTAGTATAAACAATTGTATTTAAGTTAATGCTTATACAAGCATAAAGATATTAGAAAACAAAAACCTAATGTTGAATTTTGAATTAATTTAATCATTTTATGTAAAAACAGTGGAATACAGCAAATAGTGATGTAGGAAATTCTTCAATACCTAATCACAGTTTGTAAGTCAGCAATAATTCAGATAGTTCTATTCAAACAACATTTATTTTTGTTCAAATATTCAGAACTTTTATCAAGGTCTGGTTAGATATTGTTGTATTGAGCTACACTAATAATTTTTTATTCATAGTCTATGATATAAATAGTTTGAAGTTATAATTTTAAATTTGTTAACTATGTAGTTTTATGTAGTGGTTTTTAGATTTTTTAATTTTATTTAAAGCTACTCATATTCTTTATTCCTAATATTTTCATGAAAATATTTATTTATTAAAGTTCTAGAAGCTTATATAAGAGAAATTAAGTCTAATTGATCCAACCTTCGAGCTTGCACTATTTCAATGTAACTAAAAAATAAATGTATAAACAATTATAATAATAGCAGCAGGGCCGCGTTTAGGAGGGTTCCCCGGGTACAACTGCCCCGGGCGCCAAAATGTTGTGGTCAGAAACATGTTTACTAGTGAATTATTAAAATTTTTATAATTTTAATTATTTTAATAACAGTATTATATAATATAATTTAGTATAATAGTATTATATATATAGTTTCATGCTGTTTGACATTTTTTTGATTAATATTAATTTGCATAGTTTTATATAACTGTATTTTATTTATTCATGAAGTACCTACATAAATATGTTAAAAAAACAACTTATATGATGAATTATAAGCAAGGTTTAGGTGACATAAATTCAAATGTATCTTTGCAGAGAGAGGATCAAGCAATTACTAAACAATATTTTTAAAAAATCAAACATTGTAAAACAAATATTCTTTTCTGTGCTCAAAATCTAAAAGGTTAATGAGGATTCATCTCCTATATTTTTCGTGGGTAGGTTAGAGGGTAGGTCCCTTAGGGGGGAGCAATTTTTTTTCACCGGGGCTTAGGGGGAGCCAATTTTATATTAGTAATTTTAATTTGTTTTAACTTTAAATATATTGTGTCTCATAGGGTATAGTCCATAGTCATATTTAAAATTAAATCAGAAGAAATTAGATTGTAGATATATTTAATATTATATTATATATTTACATTGAACAAAAATGAACATTTATTATTAATGTCACAACGATTAAGATATACAACATATACCTATAAAGTATAAAGAAGGTCTATATTAATATAATATAGGTATTCTTTATAGGTCTACAACTAGTAGTATCATAGAACAATAGTATGGTACATTGGTACATCATACATGATACATAGTAGTAAGTTGATATAACATTAAAAGTACAATGAAGTCTTATAACATTTAATTTAATATTTCATTACGCGGACAGTGAGTTGTCAGCACTGATTTTTATCAATTATTATAGCACTGTTATTCGTTGGTAGATAATAATTTATACTGGTTGAGATAAATGAACTCTCTCATAAACTATAATATACGTATTATACGATGTCTATGTAATATAATGTAACATAGTATGTATACAACAACTGTGGTGAGTGGTGACTGGTGACTGGTGAGCAGTAAATACACCATACATGATATACATAAAAACAATTATTTAATAATAAATATTAACTTAAATTTAAATTTTGTGAATAAATACAGTATGGTATTACCACAAATTGAATATATTTTTTAGTAAGATTAGGAACAAAACGTATCAAGTGCTTTCTGATTATTTCATAGATTTTATTTTGACGAATTGTGATTTGTGATCGTAAATTGTTACTTAAAAGTTGATTGTTTTATAAATACTTTTGGATCCAGTGAAATCCTTAGTAAAAATGGATAATATGAAGATTGAGAAATTGACTTTTAATGTTACATCCGAAATGTTTTTGTCTAGTATAAAACAATTTGCTAGCATTAAAACGGGTATGTTCCAGGAGGACTTTTACTTGTTACTTAATGGTAAAATTTTAAATGAAAATACTGTTCAAAATGGTATTGTACACATTGTCCCTCGGATAATTGGAGGCAAGGGAGGATTTGGTTCAATGCTACGAGCAATTGGTGCACAAATTGAAAAAACAACAAATCGTGAAGCTTGTCGTGATTTAAGCGGTCGTCGATTACGTGATATCAATGAAGAAAAGCGAGTGAAAGATTTTTTAGCAAAAGGAGGCCCTAGCACAGAAGATCCCGAAGAGAGAAAAAAACGCAAATTACAACGTCTATGTCAAGCACCCAAAACAGAATTTAAAGATGAACACTATGAAAAGCATATGTCCGAAATGACAGAATCCGTTTCAGATGCAATAGAGTGCGGTTTCAAAGCAGGTACATCAGAAATTCCAATTAAGAAAAAAGTTAAGTCCAAGGGATATTATGATTCTGATTTGGATACAGATAGTAGCAATGATGAATTAGATGATGAAATAGTATCTACTGAGTCAATCAAAAAGGAACAATCAGACGAAGAACTAAAAGAAACAGAAATTGTTAATAAACGTAAATGTTTAGATTTAGAAGATACTGATACTATTACAAACAAAAAAATTAAAGTTTAACAACTTTTAAATAAAACTTATTAAATTAATTTAAACAATTTGGTTGATTTTTGATTCAAAAATAAATTTATAATTGTAAAACCAGTTTGGAAAATTATACTTGTTTTGTAACATAATAAACTAATATAACCTTTGAAATTAATGTGTTTTCAGTAAGCTGTCTACAGCAATATAAATATAATATAATATATAGGTAGGCGTTGTTAATTCATATTAATTAGGGGAACCTATTTAGGAGTTCAAAATAAATTTAATACAATGCTTATGTCTAACAATATTTATGCTCAAAATAATTTTTTATTTTAATACTGTAGTTAGGATTTTGAGTAAATGATAATATTGTTATAATCCTATTTTATTGGTATATTGCACTCTGGTCAAATTATAAAACATACTTGAGAAATTTAATGTTATTAAGCTGTATTTAAAACATTTTATTTGCATTTTACTAGAATAGCAGTCTATATTTATAATTATATATAAACCATTAAAATGCTTACTTCATCTTGAAGTTCAATATCAGATTTTTGAGTTGAAAGTAGTTCTATGATACTAGTATAATAATCTTCATCTGAAACGCCTAAATCTATTGATGAGGTCTTAGTAATCTGTTTCAATAACCAAGTTCTACCAAACTAAAAAAAAAGTAAAATAATATTTTATCTGTTCTAAAAATTATCTCATTGAATGTAAAAATAATTTACTAATTCAAAATATTGGGCTGATGGAATTCATGTTAGGATGAATACCAATATTTTTAACAAGTAAGTTGTTGTAAGATGTAAAAAAAACCAATTTACATTTGGAGAACTATTATTTATTCTTTCTTCTTCACTATAAGCCATGGAAAATAACTTAGATGTCTTTGAACTATAGTCCTGAACAGGTAATTTAGCAAAATGTGGAGGTAGCCATTTGGAGTTAGGTTTATAACGTAATGCACCATTGACTAATGAATTCTGATCTTTGTTTTGATTTTCTTCATTATCAGCTTTATGATCGTCAAGTTTCTCCCAAAGTATTTTTAATTTTTTCAAACTTTTATCGTTCATTAACTGTTCTACCTCTTTAACCAACTGAAATTTGAATAAAATTATAATTCTTATATAAGTAATAGACTAACTAATATATTATGAATTACCTTGTATATTTGATCTGCATTATTATTTGATACTTTTCCAAACATACTTTTAAGTTCTAAAATATGTTTCATTAATAGTCCAGAAACACCAATAAATAATTTGAAGAAAAATAACACTGATGAACTTAATATTTCTGGTTGTTCATCTTTTGCTGAAATATAAATTACATTTAAGAAGCAAAAAATTGGGATATGGGATATTGTTAAAAAAAATTGTGAACATGTAAGAAAAAACATAACATTCATACAGGGTAAGTTAATTTTTTAATTATAAGAATCTAAAATGTAGTATAAAAAGGAAAAATACTAAATTATTTAAAAAATATATTCTTATGGTGACAATAATAATAACTGTACTTCTTAATACTTACAAAGTTCTTGTGCTATTCCATACAACATATTCAAATTCTTCAAAATAATATCATTTTTAGTATCATTAATAACATTACAAAGTTCAGTAAAAGTAAGGCATCTGGAAATTAAACTTAAATTAATTACAATATTATAACAATATAACACTAAATATATAAAAATTAAGGGAAGTCTTAAAATGAATACATAAAATAGCTTTACAGGATCTAGAGACTGGTATTGTTTATTTTGATTTGTTCATCTCAGAACATAGTTGTGGCAGGTTGAGATTTTAAATTTGAAAGTGATCGCAATTAAAATATAAAATATTATGTACTTTGAGCTGTTTAGTTAAATTTACACTTTTTAATATTTCTTCAAAACTATAATGATTTAAATTATTTTTTCTTATAATTAAAGAAAAACAGACAAACTAAGTCTTAAAAATATCTATAAGATTTAATTTTTAATTTTTAATTGATAAATAGTGTCACTTGAGACTTTTGAGGCACTCATTTTAATCAAAAGTATTAGTAACATAATCAGAATTTGGAAAATAAAATTACTACTATGTATCAAGCAGTAGACCATATACATTTTCCAATAATTACATTTTGAATCGTTAATTTTAATTAAATTTGTTTTACCCATCAGAAAAATTTTAATAAAATATCTTTCAACATTGCTACATTAAAACTAAATAAAAATAAAAATAATTACTTTTGAAATATTTTTTCTTCTTCCTCTTTTTGTTTTTTAATAACACTTAAGTTATAACTCCAAATGTTAATGGGTTCCATATATTCTGTTATATCGCTGTTTAAATATACACGGAAAGATCTTGTATATCTAGGCAACTGTCCAATGTCAATGTGCTTATGGACACTAGCTTTTAATTTTGCCATTGTTAGGTAAGATATTATATAGGTATATATCAGACCACCTATTCAAAAATAAAATTAATACTTAAATTTAAAAATGTTAAATTATTGTATACTGATAATAACAGACTGTAGGTTTAAAACTGATCTATTATTTTGTCATACTTGATTTAATGAGTTGGACAATTTCAACACAATATTATGAAGCTAATCAATAAGTACGTATACACATACACACTCAAAAAATTAATTTTAAATAAACAATAAAATAATTAAAAATTTCAAATGCACACGTTCTATTTTTTGAATAAAAGTCAACAATTTTCAATATTGTCAATATTATTATTACAAAATATGAACTAACAAGTAACAACTAATAACTAGCCATCGTCCTCGTGGACTGTGGAGTTGGAGTGCAATAGTTAATTTAAAATAATTCTTATCATTACCCAACCCCAGAATCAAGATAAGGAGATAGGTGCATGAATTGGATTTGATACATTGTATCACAAATTATATATAATACCTATATTATTATTATTATGTCATGTTTCGTAATTTGTGGACCGTACAATATAAAATATTATAATTTATAATCGTTCAAAATATATAGGCTTTCAACAGACTTTTTATATTAAGCAGGTACCACAGATCAAATAATTTGTGTAGGTACATTAATAGTTCATTTTAGTTTTTTTTATAGTATTAGTTCAATTATGATCTATTTGCCGTATGAATGTATGATGATAAATTCCGGATGGTAAATACTAAATAGTAAATAGTAAATACCAATAGTGAATAGGTAGTAAATACAAATTGCAAAAATTGCATAATACATTTTCAGCTGGTGTGAGGAGGACGGACAAGAAGTTTAAGTTAGTGGTAATAACATTAACAGATAACGTGGTTTATACCAGCATCAGCATGACGATAATATTATCAATGATCAAATGCGCAGTTTTGATTATTTTTAACTAATTTTTCTTACTGTTGTATAATTATTTCGTAAATATTAAATATTTTTTTATTATGTAGTTGTTCTATTTGATCTCGTTCTTCAAACAATGGGGCATTAAATCCATCATTGGATGTAAATAGAAAACGCTGATCTCACTTAAGCCGAGAGTACCTGCACATTGAAGGTTCTGGAGAACAAAGGTTTTTGAATTAATATAAGTCTATACACTTTGACCTCCTACCATTATGTCCTTTGTTTTTTTCTTTTGAAACATTCTAGTGTAATTGTAATTTTTTTTTGTTTAGTTAATCCGTTTCCTCAGTGATTTGGAATTAGTAGGTTTTATTGTATGTTCCATCGTGTAACAATTATTATTGTTCCTATACATTAAAATGCCTGAAACTGGATATCAAGTTCTTAATTCTGAAAGAGAAGAAGAAGTTCATTTCCAGTTCACTCCCAATATAGCTAGAAGTAAGTGTTCTAAAATGTTGACATTTAATTTGAAGGAGACATAATAATACAGTAATACTTATATACTTATATACTATTCAATATAAAGTGTAATATCTGCACATATTAATTTATTATTTATGTTAAATAATATATTGTTTTAGACCGATGGAATCACATAGAGGACTTGGATACATTTTTTACAAGAATCTATCTTTACCATCAAAGACATGGTTTTATTTGCCTCATTCTTCAATCAACACTAGATCTCTTGCAAGTGATATTCTTATTGGTGTTTTCTCTATTTCTGTTTTACTGCATTGACTACCCAGTACTTTTCAGGTATAATATTGTATTTCATTTAGTAACTACATTGAATTGAATTTAAATAAATATATTGCAAATATGAATTAAATATATTTTTATAAACTCCTTTTTTATTCAAAATATAAATTAGCTATTCTATTACCTATATCTAAAAGACATCTTTTAAGTTAAAACATTTTAGGTTTGATGTTAATACTGCTAATATGCCATAAATTTAAATTGTTTTATTGTAGTAATCTAAAAAACATCACATTATAATTAACTAATGATGAGTCATAAATTGTATCACCTTTATTTGATACTCGTCGCACTGAAATTTTGATTTATTGTAAAATTAAAGCTTGGTGTACAAAATTAATAATGATTTCAATCTCCATATCTTGTCTCCTAAAAATTGTAAAATGTCTTAATTTATATTAATTTATTAAATTTAAATGTACGTGTAACTAAATTGACAAATTGATAAATGTAAAAATTTGTTTTTAAAAGGTTGGTCAATAAAATACAGATTCAATACTCTTATATTTATAACTAATTTAAAATTATTATTCAATATTTAGAGACAAACCAGCAGATTCAAGCAGAGTAATGAATGGTACTGATAAAGTACGCCTATCTGATGTTTTTCTCCCTGCTTCAAAATGTACTAGCAAATTTACATTTTTCACATATCTATACATGATACCACTATTAATGTTTGCTTTCTTCCGGCTTATGAAAGTGTTTAATGTTGCTTATCATTTTGCTGACATCAAAGCATTTTATAACGTTGCTCTACTCATACCTGATGTGAGATATGATTTTTTAAAAAAATAACTAAAATTAAATTTTTCAGAATGTTTAAAAAATTAAAAATAAACTTTATATTCTAGAAAGAGTTACAAAACTATACTTGGCGAGAAATTATACACAAAGTAATAGAAGCACAAAAAGAACAAAATATGTGTATACATAAACTGGATCTTACAGAACTTGACATTTATCAACGTATTTTAAGGTACTCTAGTATATTATAAATAGTCTAATATTGTATCTTTGTATCTAATTACTTTTTCATCATTTATTAGAACAAAAAACTACTTAATAGCTCTTGTGAATAAATCTGTGCTTCCTACACATTTCAATATACCATTTCTTGGTGATGTAATCTATTTTTCTCACGGAATGAAGTACAATTTAAATTTGTTGCTTTTCTGTAAGTAATAAAATAAAATAAGTATATTTTAATAATCTAAACAAAAGATAACATCAAAAGTATGTTCTATTTTGTTATACATTATAAAATAGTGAATATATATTATAATACAGCATATAAAGTGAAGTGGCATAATTTGGTGATATTTATGGGGCGGTGATATTTTTTTATATATCTTAAGGTTTGTTTATCAGTTGTAATCTGACTTTTGTTCGGACTAGTCATTTACAGCTTATCCGCTCTATTATCCTAATGAATTGTTCAAAGTGCAATATTGCAATGTGCTGGCTGTCTTCGACGGCGTCCAATGCAAAAATGCACTAAGCCTTTACATATTACTTGTTCAAATATTCCTGGTCTAACTGATAATAATCTTAAACAGCGCTGTGCTTCACTAACTGTGAGAGTTCTAGACTTAGAAGTAAAAATTCTCCGGCATCTATTTCATTTTTGGAAGCTTTAGATACCAATTATTAAGCTGCATACATCTCCTTCTTTCGGTCTCTTTCGTTTATCACCAGATTGTACAATTTTTACAATTATACAACGTTATCAACTAATATTATCATATTATGTAAAATCGAGGGACATAAAGCAGCCGGGGAATCTAATTTATTTATGAAGTTTGTTAAAGGTATTCTGACTATCTAAAAAAACTGGTGAAGGGCACAATAACTTAAATCTCTATTATCAAAATGTTTGCAGACTCAACTCCAAATTAAGTGTTTTAATGCTTAATGTATAGTATTTATCTGACTATGATTTTATTGGTTTATCGGAAACCTAGCTATCTCCAAATGTTAATACTTGCAAATTAGGTTTTCCCAACTATAATACTTATCGTTGCAACCGTAACCCGAATACAAGCAACCGTTCTAGGGGTTGAGGTGTTCTACTATCGGCCAATAATAAATTTTGTTCTAGCTTATTTTCTGTACCTGTCAGTCGCGTTGAACATTTATTTGTCATTGTTAAAACTAAAAAATTTTTGATTTGTTCTATTCTATTATTTATGGTATTTTTGATATATTTGTACCTAAAATAACCAAACGTGTAATTACCCTTTGTGGTATAGTAAAAATCTAAAAGAATTGATTTAAAAAATTGCTCATACATTTTTTAAAGGTTCAGGTTTGGTAAATAATTATAATACTTTTTCAAATTTTCGTGTAAGATATAAATTTTTTTCAAAAACAGATTATTAATTTGACATAAATAAAATACAAAGAAATGTAAGGACCAGATCTGATCATTTTTAGGAATATATAAACAGTAAATGTAAAAACAATTTTTTACAAATAGTATACATCTTTACACTGAAAAATTTAACATTTAAAATTATATTGGATTGCGAATAAAGGAATGTTTTATTTGAAAAATTAGTCTTGGGAAACCATTTTTACTTAGTCTACAGCTACAGGTCTAAAATTATATTCATTATTCAATCATGATCATTAGGAACCTTACAATAAACAAAAATATATTATTATTTAGTTTCTTTTCTTACTGGACAGATGGAACCTACATCCAGATTTCCTATTTTTCCGGAGGATTTTCTTAAAATGGTCTTAATTAAGAGTTAAAAACCTTCTCCTGACAATTACGAACACCCACGAACTAATCGTCTATCCAGTTGAAGACTGCAACAACTAAAAATTTAACAAATTTGAGTTATGTACGCCATCTTATGACAATTTCAGTTCAAGAATGCAATAAAATAAAGTTAAATTATTGACCACGCGAGAGCAATCTCAATATTATAATTTACATTATGTTACATAGAGAAAAAATATAGAAAACCCAATATACCCAAAAAACCAATATTTTGAGTTATTGGAGTCTTGAACTGGATAGTTGTAATTATTTATTAACTGTATCGGACTAAATTTTTGCCTAAAACCTTCTCTGTGATATAAAAATTAAAATGCACGATGATTGAATAAGTAGTTTCGGAGTTTATCCCGAACAAAAAAAAGTGACTTCATTTTATATAGTAGTATAGATATAGATATAGATATAGATTATCTATGAAATAGTATATATTATATATTGATTCAAGTTTTTTGTTGTTGTATTATTTCTATAAAACTATATGACACCTAAATCCTCTTTCATAATTATGTCACGGATAGGGTGGCAGCTAGTATTGTTCTTTATTAGCATGAAACACTATAAATTGTATATTTTAAAGAACTAAATATTTTTTTGTTCACTATAAATAGTAATATAAGGTACTCTAAATTGTATAAAAAAAAATATCTTTTAAAATGTATAAATATTTAAGTTAAATACTCAATAAATAATAATTAAATTATAATTTCAGGGGGTCCGTGGTCACCATTTGAAAATAATTGGCATCTTAAACCAGAATATAAACAACCTGGAAAGCGTTTGGAGTTGGCACGGTCAATGCGTAAAACTATTAGTTGGGTTGCTTTAATTAATATATTGCTATCTCCAGTAATTTTTACTTGGCAATTAATTTACAAGTTGTGTGACAATGCTCAAGTAAGAAATATAGTTTAACAATATTAGTCTTAATTGTTTAAATTTATTGTTGTATTCATTAGATGGTAAGAAATGAACCGAGTGTACTAAGTATACGCATGTGGTCCTTATATTCAAAAATATATTTGCGTCACTTCAATGAACTGGACCATGAGCTCAGTGCTCGACTTAGTCGTGCGTATGTGCCTGCAGCTAAATATTTACAAAGTTTTGCAGCACCTGTTTGCGTTATAATTGCAAAGTATTGTTAAATTCCAAATTATTAATTAATAACACATTAAAATATGTAATAATTAATTTGAATTTTTAGGAATACAATGTTTTTCACTAGTGCTATTATGGTACCAATAATTGCAATGACTGTTTATGACGACAGCATTTTATCAATTGAACACATGATAACTATATTAAGTGGATTATCACTATTATTTTTGATTTGTCGGTTAGTTTAAAAATATATCATAATGTAAATATTAATATTGTATTTGATTAATTAATTTGTAATGAATAATGGATTTTATAATTTTAGAAGTCTTGTTGATGATGATAAGGAAATTGTTTGCCAAGAATCATTAATGAACGCTATATTGACTGAAGTTCATTACCTACCAGATTCATGGGTTGGAAAAGCTCATACACAACAAGTCAGCAATCAGTTTTCCCAAATTTTCCCATTCAAAGCTGTAAGTAATGTAACATTTTTAAGAAAAATGCAAATTTAATATGAAATATAAATTTTGTTTCCAGAATTATTTGTTCAACGAATTAATATCACCAATAGTCACACCATTCATACTGTTTTTCTGGCTTCGTCCCAGATCCTTGGAAATCATAGATTTTTACCGTAATTATACTGCAGAAGTAGCAGGAGTTGGTGATGTATGTGCTTTTTCAATGATGAATTTACGCAAAAATGGTAATCCAGCTTGGCGTTCCCCTGGCCCTTCATCGCCTGGAACCCCCACAGCAAAATTACCTCAAGTAGATCAGGCTGAAGATGGAAAAGTAGAAATGTCTCTTCTCAGTTTTTCTGTACGCAATCCTACTTGGGATCCAGTTGATATTGAAGCTAAAGAGTTTGTAGATGAAATAATTGCAAAGACTCGTCAAAAATATTCATCCACCAGCAATTCTATAATAAACCCAGTAAGTTTTTAATTTAAAAAAAATATACATAACTATTGGTTACACAATACTTGTTTATTTATTTTTTAGTTTCAACATCATGATATGATTGGTAGTACATTAAACATTGCAGAAATACCTTCCTGTTTAATTGGGCTTGATCAGAGCACAAGGTTACTGCATAAAGAAGGGTATGTTTTTTTTTTGTAATTCAATATTTATTTTATTTTAATAATCCTTTTTTTGATTATTTAGGTTGACTGGTCGTCCAAACCGAATCAATTGTAGTTCTATTATGCGCTCATCAGTATTTTCTACAAATGACTATTTAACTTCAATAGAAGTAAATCAAAGCGCGTTGCTTTTGCATAGCATTCATAGAAAGTAATTACACATTAATTTAATGAATACATAAATAATTTATAATTAATAATATAACACTCATATTATCTTTTGTGTTCTTCTAGACAACTTGATGAACGAGGCAATAATACTAGTTCTTCAATTTCTCAATCTGCTCTTAAAACCAACACCAATTTACAAGAACGAACTCCATTGCTGAAACCAGGTGCAAGGATTATCTGATTGCTATGACTTAATAAAAGCCTCAAAACTACTGTGATATTAATTAAGGTGTAGTAGTATTCTTTTCCAATATTTTTGAGATTATATTCTATATTTCAAGGAACTGTTTTTATTGGTATGATTATGTTTAAGAAACTTAGATTTGATTGTGTGACACTAAAAAGTTTTTCTTACAATAAGCTATTGTAACTATGTGTTTTTTTTTTTGAAATTATTATTTCATAATTTTTAATCATGATTTTGCCAAATTATTATAATTGAAAGATAAACAAAATTGTAATATAGTTCTCATGTTCAAATGATTGCTTAATCTGTAATAAAAATATGTCAACACTTGAATCATTTAGTGTTGATGTTAAATTAACATTTATTTTAATATATCTCCTATATTATTTCTATCACTCTATTAATGGTGTCATATTGATACGTATGTATGTGATTGTGGCTTTATTTTAACTCCATCTATTTGTCCTAGGCCTCATATTCACAATATTACTTGCAGGGGTTTAAGGTTTTAGAATTTATTAAAAGAATAACTGGAAAATTCAAACACTTCAACTCACTTGAAGCAATTTTTTTTTGTAACTCAAGATACTTTAAATATTCACCAAATGTTTATATGACCATTTTCTATACAAGAGAAGCTTTTTTTTAATAACACTTAAGTAAAAGTGAATTTTGAAAAAAAAGAAAATTGATTATGCACTATTGTAATTAAAAAATAAAAACAAATCAAAAATCCATTTCTTACATAAACTAGAAAAGTGATAAAGGAACTCAAACGTCTCAAACATGTTTTAAATATTAAAATCTGGCTTTTGGTATAGTTTGTTCCTGGGTGCATTTTTCTTCAAATGTTTACTATCATAAGTCGTAGTCACCACACCAGGGGCGTCATTTAGGGGGGTGCATTGTGTACATTTGTAGCAACTTTTTTTTTAAAACGTCTTCTTTGGCCTGCCAACAATAAATATAAGCGCTGATATACCTAAGTGTTTTATATTATATATATTTAATATTTTTTCCGTAATAAAAAAAATAATGTATTGTACTAATGTTTAATTTCCAAGAATGTTTGATGTGGTTTTATGGTCCCACAATATTATAACTGATAAAATTATAACACAAACATTGTGAAGAAGGATACCCATAAAATAATTTTCTGGTTTTATTAGGCTATATTATATATTTTGAGTACCTATGCATGGAGAAAAAATGTGTAGGTTGGGTTCGGTTAGGTATTTTATTATAAAGGTGTTTTATATCCATACATTTATTTACCAAGTGTAAATACCACTGTACACAATATAAAATAAATACTTTAAAAGTACCTACACATAGTTCATCAAAACTAGTAACAATTTTATGATATTTGCATGCTAATAAGTGACATATTAAATAAATTATACAAATATTCTAGTTTTTTCCACACTTGACGTGTCCCCCTGATATAAGTTTTCTATATAGGACCCTTTAAAAATGGTTTGCTTTCAACAGCGTAATTCTTTGATCATTTTAATGTTTACAAAAACTCCTTTTAAGATATGCATAGGCAATAGAATATGCAGTATTTAGTTACCTTCCTTATCAGAAGTGGCAATTAATGTACTTGGGCCCATAGACCTTTTACTTAAGGTTTATGCGTGGGCCACAGATACCTATATTGTAGTACAGAATATGGCACGGACTAAGATATATCTATTAGTCCGTGGAATATAGTTAGTATAGAGCACAGAATAGATAAATATAGATATCTGTATGACTGTATATAATAAATAATTCTTTCAGCTACTTCAGACACGATCACGATTTAAGATGTCGTGGACACAATTTTATTTAGGACAACGATTTTAAAATGTTGAATGTTCTTGTTAAAAATTTCCGATTTATGACGTACTTATGATGGATTATAAAATGGTATCAGTAAACAGTAATCAGTGTGTCACATATAGTGATACCACAGAATAGATGAATTTCGTCTGTGGTGATATACTATATAGTGCATCGTAGTAATATTTTGTGTGAACTCAAACATTTTATACGCGAAAGGCTTAACATTAAAATATTTTATTCATTATTATACATTTTTACCTAACATTTATATTTTGTTATTTTATTGTGCTATTAGTTTCTTACCGTCCATTTACCAAAACCAAAAATAAAAATTAATAAATGTAAGGAGACTGAAGTCAAGATAATTAATATCGTAAGTAATAAGTATGAATCTTATGGGTGCACCCTAATATAAACTTTAAAAGTGGGTACCTAGCTATGTTGTTTTTAATAAATTAGATTATAAAACGCATTGGAAATAATACATTTGCCTAGGTAGGATATTATTATTTCATTATTATTTATTAAAAAGAAATTATAATTAAGACTGTGACTCGTATGGTGGCGATCTAAACGGTCTGCGTTTGTCATGATAATAATATGATATCTGATTGTTATATGTAAATAGTGAATTATGGATATAAAAATAATAATAGCCGATAGGTACCTAAATGTATAGAACTATAAACTATACTATCGATGGGCATAGTGCAGACATGTTAATTGTTAGTGAAAAATTCATAAAAATGAGTTTTTTGCATGGCTGTCTTGTTGACAACTTTCAACATATTGTGTATTTTTTGTACAAAATATGTTTTAAGTGTATAGTACATATTTAGTCTGCTAGAGGTCGACGCGTTTGTTGTATCTGTTGTATCTTATGTTTGTAATCTGCGTGATATGAAATCACAATTTATTGTCGTTCTCTTGAACAATATTACGAAAATGTCACTTACATAGTTAGGTACATAGTTACATCAGGGGTACACTATGCCATGGCTATTTGATATCTATACCTAACTATACCATTACCATAAGTTTTTTTAATTTATACAATGTTTATTATAATTTTAAAATTTGACTTCTAATAAAGATTATAATAATTAATATTATATAGATATTTAAAAAAACGGGATGCGCTGACTAACCTTTTAATTTTGTGTACCTATATTTTAACCGAATGTCTAATAAAAAAAAGTGAGCCGTCTCAGGACTTCTGGTAGATGTGAAACTATGAAAATATGAATGAAAATTGAAAGAATGGTTTATGTATTAATTATTAAAGGAAATAAACGTGGTATAATGAAAAACAAAATATTCAGATTTTTTAAGAAAAATTATTCTTTAGATGTTTTGCACGTGTGGCTATCACAATCAGTTTTGCTTGCTGCCTTGTTTCACATGAAAAATTAATAATTGTGTTACGAAGGATAATAATATGTAGCTTAGGTAGGTAGGGTTTAAACATAGTGCATTACGCCATTACCTACTGTATAATATGGGGTCTCTATTATAAAACTAGTAGATATGTATAGGTATACTAAATGTCCAAAAGGCTTTTACACTAATACAAGAAAATTAAAAATTGGAAAATTTCATCTTTTGAAACAATCTAAATGAGATTTGAATAACAAAATGAAATAAGTAATGAAATAAAAATTCGAAATTTAAAAAAAAAAATAATTCGGGTTTACGTGGGTTTATTTTACCACCTTTTTTTCACTATAACCCTCTACCGTTGTTTATTCAAAAATGTAACTCTGCATCAGTGCCGTAACTAGGCTACTGAGGCCTGTGTGCAAAACCAAAATGTTGAGGCCCCTTATTATCTTTTTCAATACACACCTCAAAAACTTTTTTTGCAATTTTTAAAGTCAGCAGCCAAAAATTCGGGCTTAAACAAAAAAAAATTTTTAATTTAAAATTATCTATAATTTTAAAACAATTTCTCAAGGCTATAACTAACTCAAAAAAGTAAAAATTTTCCAAAATGTAATTTATTGAAAATATTTGGTGAAAACTTCAATGGTCTACGGTTATTAGTTTTCGAGTTATACCAAAAATAAAATTTTTGGTTTTTCAGGTAAAATTGACAATTTGTTTTTTTTATTGACGCTTTGTAATATCAAAGATATATCTTTGATATATTTTTGTATATCTAAAACTAAAAATTTCGGTTTCGATCTCCAAAAAGTACCAACTAGATTCACTTTTCTAACAGAAAAAATGCCCATCTCGAAATTCGGAATATTTTTACTACCCAATGTTGATGACCGACAGAAATGAAAAAAATTACACATTAAAATTACACATCTTGTAAAATCAATACATTTGTTCGTTCCTCTTAAAATCTAAAAACAGTGATCACGACTCCATGCTATATAAAAAAAAAATGAAATAACATTGGTTTCCTTTCCAAATCAATAATAAATAATTTATATATTTTAATAATTTTATATTAGTTTAATATTAGTCTTTAGATCTTTTGAGGCCCTTTGATATATTATGAGGCCCGAGGCCTGTGTGCGGTGCACACTTTGCACACCCGGTTTTTACGGAACTGCTCTGCATATATTGACATAGGTACATTCTAACTATTTTCACGATTAGCTAGGTATAGGTACTCACTTTGTTATCTGAAGTGGAAAAATTCAACTCAGAATCATAGAACGAAGCTGCAAGTAGCAATAGAAGTGAAGGTTCATATATAATATATAACATACAATTATTACAATTCGTATTTTTTCGTAGGCTCATATATATTTTGAGAAGTAGTATTATGTAATATTAAATACCAATATATATGATAATATGTAATATGTTAATTAATGTATATATTATTATCATGTATCACAGGCGCATGTAAAGGATCGATTTGGGAGTGAAGGGCGAAGAGAAAAAGAAGAAGAAAATCGCAGGCACGAGGCACATGATAACATTATTAGGTACGTTAAAATGATGGACGACGATCGACTGTCCATAAACTCACTGCCCGACGAGATTTTGCTGTGCGTATTCCGAAAGCTGTCAGCCACCGAGTTCGTCGCGACGGTACCGCTCGTGTGCGACCGGTGGTCGCGGATAATCTCGTCAGACGCTTGCACGCTAAAGCGGGTATGCATGCACCACACAAACGCGTCTGCTGCCGTTGAATTCTTCTACTTCCGCGACGAAAGCGAACGGTCGCTGATGTTCCATTGGCCGTCCGACGAGTACTCTGCACGGCTACTGCAGTACAGCTACGACCAGTACGACAATAGTGCCGTTGGCGGTCCGGTGAGGCGAGTTGGTTACGCGAACGCGTTCTACTTGTGCGCACGGTACGAGGAGATCTTCGGGCATATCACCACGCTGGTAATCTCGTCCAGTCTGTGCGTATACGCCACTGACGGGTTCACGTACGTCGACTGTCTGACCACGTTAGTATTGCACAGCGTCCGGATCCGGGAGGCAGACCAGTACACGCTTGCCGAACTGGGCACCGTGTACTTCAACGTGACGGACGTGATGTACTTGAAATGTTCACTCGCCTCTCATTTCGACCTCAAGTTCCTGCACGCCGGGTTCGGGCAGCTACGGCGGTTCCGGGCCGATCACAACACCGTCGGAGTCCGGTTCCTCGAAGACCTGTTGCACGCGCACCGGGGCACCCTGGAGACGGTCGTGCTAGGCGACTCCACGGTGACGGGCGACCGTTGGATAGACGTCCTATCGGACAGGCTCCGCGGACGAACCATAAACCGCCTGAGCATGCACAGTTTGTACTTCACGGAGAGGTGTGTAAATCGGTTTCTGACATCCGCCGACTTGATCCTGCCCGATGACAGATCCAAAGTGACCATCAACAGTGAGCTAAGCAGGATCTCGTTTTCCATCGACATCGATCCCTTACGATGATTTCGTGTTCGGTACTCATATATTATAATAAATTATCACCGGTGCCATTGTACGAAACAAATGATAAAGTATATAAAATAAGATACAATTCTATAGTTCACAATAAGTAGGTATAATAAATAGGTATAGGTAAAACAGCGTATATACTTCGAAGTTCAAATTTCCATGCATTTTGCTGTATTTTTTTAAAAATAAATTTTATCCTGACTTGCCTATTTCGTAATTTTTGACGAGTTCCGCTTCTTTTTTTTATTTATATTGTCCATAGGCTATAGATATTAGGTATATTATCCAATATCCTTGGCTATATTTAGCCATGATATTACCTATATTTTATATTTTAACGAAGTATGAAATTTACATTGCTGCAGGTATCGGTATATGCTAGGTAGGTACTTCTAGAATATATACTATAGTATTATGTTTATTGATCTTTCCTACAAAATTTGTTTAATTTATACAATTTAATTGTAAATTGTAAAATGTTAATAGATTAATTCTTTAATTTTCAAATCATTATTTTTTAACCTATTATATCCTTCGAAAACAAAGTTATGTGGGTAACTCAAATATAGTCGTTTTAATTTAGATCGTCTTGCATTCTAGCTTAACATATAAATAAGACGATTCTGGTGTAAAAAAAGGAGTTAATAAATAATATAAATTAAAATATTATTAGAACCTATAAGTTCAACATTTTTCTATAATTTATCGATTAAAATATTATTTTCAGTTTAGTGAACTCACCACAACCTTAATATGCTTTATTTTCGATAATATTTCGTTAACTAATTACAAAATACCAAAAATAGTATTGGCCTGGATAATTTTTAAAGGAGCCTACCTCTAAATATGAAAGAAGGACGCAATGGACACCATTTAGGATTTACCTTAATTTTACCCTTTTGCTGGTTAGGACGTGTTTTTAGTAATACCATATTACGATATTGGTTAAAATGGTAAATTTATTCATCATAAATTATAATGATTCAATAAGTAATAACACAATAACACCAATGTACCCTATGGTAACCTAATAATATTGGTAACGTTACCTAAATGTATACAAATTTGTGATATTTTTATTTTAAGTTTATAAGTTTAAGTGCTAATTGTTTATGTGAAATGATACCTAATTTATTATTTTTATTTATTATGCTATTTATAGATGAATAAAAAATGATGATGTATTTGTTAAATTATATTATTTAATCGTTGCATTATGACGTATCCATCTACTCGAATACCGATTACTGTATATTCACTTATCACTATACATGCTTTAAAATTATATTTTTCTACTAAATATTCATTTTATTATAGAATAAAAATTATGTTATTGATAGAATGGAAATAATAATAAATTATACTTAAGTTATTTTTATTAAAAATCTAGTTATTTATTTATCGTTTATGAACACTATTTCATCCTCTCTTTTCTTGCTATATTTCATATATTATGATCAATATTATAATTGTCATACTTACTGTATTACAATTAATAAATAGAGGGACGGAGTGGCCGACTCACGCCGACGCCGGTTCTATACCTCGGTCATGGGCGGCATTTTTCTTCGGGAAAGTCACGGTGTCCGGAGAACAAATGCCGCCATCCCCCACCCGGGCATGGCAGATACCTACGGGTGTAAAAATCGAAAATTCTGCCAAAAACAAACACGCACGTCACGCGTGTTCCCCATCCTACCAACAAAAACCTACAAACAAAACAAAAATAGCTAATGGCCTAAGCCAGGGATGGCGAACCTTTTTGTACCAGCATGTCAAATAAAAATGTTGGTTGGATTTTGTTTTCTTTGCGTGTCAACTAGTTTGATAACCCTTGTTTAAACTTAAAAATTCCTGCATCTATGGTTTGAATGATAAAAACACAAGTCAAATATTATATTATCAAACAATTTAAATATAACCTTTGAATTACTATAAAAATAACACTCACCAATAATGAAAACTGCACAAATTTGCACAAACACATGAAACACATTCGACTCGACGAATGAGTAATGACTAACGCTAATCGTGGGCCAGCTACACGTTATATCCATTATATAAAATATATATGTCGTAGCCACTTCGTGAAATCGTACTTTTCATGAAAAGATGACCATTTCATGAAATGGAAACGGATATTTTACACTTCGTGAAATTCGAAAATATTTCACAAAATGGTCATTTTTTCATGAAGTGGTCACTCAAATTTAACATCGTGTAATTTTTTTCACAATCCGGTCGTTCACTTTGTGTAATGGAATACAACACTCATTTATTATTACGTATTTATTAAGTACACTTATTTTTAACTTTAACAATACTATAAGTTATTTTTATCTATATTTTATTAATTTAACTAAACATTATATTATTATATTTATAACTATTTATATAATACTAATATATATTGTTCATATTACAATAATTTTTTTATTTATTAGAACAGGTAAATGAATTGTGACAACGACTGTTGCATTTTATACTAGCTTTAAAACAAACACATCTTTTGGTTTGACAAGAACTTTTACATGAACAACTTAGGAATCCCTGACCTCCAGATACGACCTGGACAGTTTCACGCAAGGTTAATTCTTTTTGTTTGTTAACCTGTTCAGCTAAAATAAAATTTGCAGTGGCATGCTGCATATTTCCAGAATTGAACCATCCTTTAATTAACCCGTGTGTAGTTCCTACTTTGTACATTTCATTTTTTTCTTCAATAATGACAGCAATCACGCGAGCAGGATCCGATGGCCCTCTGTCGACTTTTGGAACAGAAATTGTGATGCAGTCATTAATTTTGAACTCTGGAATTACGGCATTGCTAACCTATATGAAAAACAAAAATTTAATTTATTATCTATGATAAATTTGTACTTATATTAAAGTACCTGTAACATTTTTTTGGCGGCTTCCATTGCGTAGAGGTACGTAGAATTAAAACTTTTAGAAATGTGATCGAACAGCAGTTATACACTGACACACTGCGTGGAATTACCAAAATGCTGATATGACATTATGTGATTATGACTTTAATCAAAAGTCAAAACCAATAAATATCATCTACACAGATAGTCTGGCGATTAGGCAGGTATAATAGTCATATAGAATAGGTATAGATAATATTTATTGTATTTGACATCGGCACGTGATTAATAGATATAAATAATAACGTCAAACCAAAAGATGTGTTTGTTTTAAAGCAAGTATAAAATGCAACAGTCGTTGTCACAATTCATTTACCTGTTGTATTCCATTACACAAAGTGAACGACCGGATTGTGAAAAAAATTACACGATGTTAAATTTGAGTGACCACTTCATGAAAAAATGACCATTTTGTGAAATATTTTCGAATTTCACGAAGTGTAAAATATCCGTTTCCATTTCATGAAATGGTCATCTTTTCATGAAAAGTACGATTTCACGAAGTGGCTACGACATATATACCTAATAAAGTTCTTATAGAAAAGTAATAAAATTAATAGTTGTTGAGCAGTGTAGATATTCAATTCAATGCATTTAGGTATAATACCATAAACTTAATATTTCATTTTTGTAATCTCAATATATTTTAGTCTACGTCTTTTTACACAGTTGAGTGTGTCACTAAAATAGCGTGCGCGTGTCATAGGTTCGCCATCTCTGGTCTATGGTATATTGGATACAACCCGGTGGTTTTAAATATTGCTGTACAGTGATTTGAAAAAGTTACCAATGAATACTAATTTTTTTTTTTTTACTCTTATTAGAGCAACTATTATTTTTTTAACGATGTTACTGACTAGTGACTACTGCAGTAGAATTTTGTCAAACACTAAGATTTGAAACAGGTAAAAATACAGAAAAATAACCAGTTTAATATTATATACATTAATTAATAATTACTAATCATTTAGATATTACAAAAAATAATAATAATAATAATACTAATTTCTACTATTATCTATATTATAAAAGCGAAATAGAAATTTTTGCGACGAGTTGGCTCCGAAACGGCTAATTAATTTTTTTGTTGTGTTCGTAATTGGCAGAACAAGGTTCTTATAAAAGACAATTTTAGGAAAATCCATCGAAGTCGGAAATCTGGAAAATTAAAATTTTTTTTTTGAAATAATGAATTCGGGTTTTGGTGATGGGTTTTAAGAACAAAATCGGGTAGTTAAAACCGTTATTGATACATTTTAATATTTCAAGAAACTACTATAGGTACAGACTGCCATAATTTAAAATTTTAACTCAACAAAGGTAATGGATGTTTTTGAAGCAAGTGGATTATTATTTTATATACTAATTGTTATACGAAGTTGACTGTTTTACTGCTTTTATTGTAATTTAAAAAATATATAAAATATAATATTTTTTTCCATCTTATTCCTGTAACACATTATTTTGTACCAATTATCAATACATACGAACAATAGTTATGTAGATTCCTACCCATTTATTGAAAGTTATTATCATTTACCAATAATAAGTATTAACATTATGTCCAGTTTTAATTAATAACAGCATTTTTAAAACTGTAGTTCATATTTTTGTAGATATTGGGTTTCTTATGAATATAGAATACTGGTTTTTCACAATATTTTGTTCAGCTATTTTCATTATTTCATCTACTTTAAGTATGTCTGGGTATAGGGTGCAAAGTCCTGTCAAAAACAGAAGATTTGCTGTAACTTGTAAGGCAGGATATGAAAATCTCATTATATCATATTATCAAAGCAGGAGTGTCTTAACACGTTCACTGCGGATCATATTTTTGTATACTTGTCGTGACGCTGAATGAACTTGAGTTTTAAAATAAAATTTGCTTAAAATTGAAAAATTAAAATATCAGTGTACGATTTTCACTTGATTATGAAACAATGCTTATAGAACAAAAAACCAAAAGTTTAATCGTAACGCTGACCAAATTATAGTCCATTAAATAAGAAGGTACATGACGCCAATTGGCGTCATTCAGCATATGTGAACTATGTATAATGACACAATTTGGCATCATCCGCAGTGAACGTGTTAAGACGGCAACCTATTCACCAGAGCTTTATAACGTTTTCACTACTGATACAGCTGTAACCTAAAGGCTAAAACAACGCTACAAAAACTCATTTTAGCTATTGTTTCCGATGACACTGTAATACTATCAGCAATATATAGGTAATGAGAAATTCATTCAGCAGCCTAATTTATGCAAGAACATCATGTGTAATTGTCAAGTACTCAGTGTACTAGATATGGAATTTGAACTATTTACTCTGGTTTCAATAATGCTACAATTCCAAGAAGTAAAAAGTTTTAAGAAAACATCACAGAAATAGAAAATATTTTACTAAAGAAAATAACAAACACTAATTTTTAAATAATATATTTAAAACATATTATATAATATATTATATATTAATATACTTATTCAATGTGTTATTTTTTATTTGTACATATAATCATCGTCAATTTGTATCAGTATAAAATGTAACTGCAGAAGCTAAGGCGATTGCTAAAATACATAAGTGATTTTTCCATAGATTATTAGCGTTGACATGAGATGTCACAAGTATTTAATAAAAAAATTGTTAATTAATAATTATTCTAATAGAAAACGCTTCATGTACATTTTAATTGAAAAAAAATCAACACAAAATATTATAAATATTTAAATAAAGTTTTATAGCAATCAGCGTTCATTTTATTATACACTCATGTATACATTTTTAACTCTACAAAAAAAAATAAATTGGAAAACAAAAAAAAAATGTTTACATAGGTATATTTTCTATTGAAAAATATTTTGGTGTGTTAATAATGTATTCATGTACATTTTACATAAGATAAATAGTCAAAAAATATTATTATTAATATATTAAATAACAAATATAATATTTCAACAGCTCTTCATTTGACAATATCACACGGTCATTTGAAAAATCACGTAACGCTTTTTTTTTAATGTAGAACTTTTAGACAGTAAAATAATATTTATATTAAAAATTCAGACTAGTTCTTTCTAAAAAAAAAAATGTAATAATAATTATAATAATAATAATAAAAAAAAAGGCATTAAACATACATTTTTCAACTAATACTTAGAGAATGAACATATTGTTGTCTCTAAAGCGCTGTCGTATAATACTACATTGGTAAATAATACTTGTACAAATAAAATTAAACCAGATCATCCGGCATTATGACTGCAGACTATTAATTCTGTTCCCGTACAACTTATAACGTCACAGGATTAAATAAAATATATTTGCTCACATTATGATTGTAATAGTATTGGCTCCATAATTGAGTTTAAAGGCTTAGAATTTTCCACATTATTTTCATATAGATCTTTTGCTTTCAATAACCGATCAGCTCCTTTAAATAGTAGTAAATAGTATAATTAAAGAATGTAAATCATAAGAATAGTCACTTATTTAAACATACCGGAAGGTCGAAGTACTAAATAGTGTAGGATATCGGACAATGAGAGTATTCCAATGACTTTGTCCTCTGCGTCCACAACTACTAACCTATGCACCTGAAAAAGCAATTGGAAAATAATAAATAAAATTGTACAGAAATTATTAATATTTAAACTTTCTTACCTCAGCGCGAACAATTTTTTCCATAACACTAAATAATGTATCAGTCAGATGGCATTTTTGTACACCTTCAAACCAATCACTTCGATACTCATTGGCTTGTTTTAGAGTAACATCTAAATTATTGTATGTACGTTCCGCAGCTAAATTCTAATAACATAAAACATCAATTAAAATACATTTGAATTGTTAATCTTTGCATGAGTTATCAGCTTACAATAACATCAAATTTAGCAAAAATATCAATAAGTCGACCTTCTTGATCAACCATAGGTAAAGCAGATACTCTGCGTTCAACAAATTTCTTTAATGCTAATATGATAGATGTTTCTTCGGACACTGTCTCTATATTTTCAAAAGTGCCAATTTTTAGGTCTCCTAGACTCTGAGATAAATATGCTGGTTTTGGTAAATCATTAATCTGAAATGTAAATGCAAGGTTTATTATTATAGAACACAGGCACACTACCCACTAATTTAATAAAAAACAATTATTTGAAAAAAAAATTCAATACCCTTACGTAAAGAAGAAGAAAACGTAGTATGCGTTTATGTGTCACAATATAAAGAACATTTCCAGTTGCTGGATCAATTACTGGAAGTCTGTGTATTTTATTATTTATTAAGGTTTGAATAGCAAAATATAATGACATATCTGGGCCAATGGATATTAATTCTTGAGGACGTTCTTGATGTAATTCGTCTGAAACATGAAATGTTATTTTTAAAAACAGTTCTGTATACTTTAAAAATTATTATTTTTTACTTCTCCAGGTATCCAGCTTATGTTCTTCTAACTCCTCCATACTTGAAGACGATGAAGAGTAATATTTTTGTAGTATCCTGATGAAATCTGTAATAGTTAGCATGCCCACAAATTTTTGACGCTTGTTGTCCCATAATGGAGCAGCTCGCACACCATTGTAGACCAAGGCGAAAAACGCCTTTTTAACAATCAACTGTGTATCGAATACAACCAATTTTGCACTGGTTGGTATGAGATCATAAGTTTTATGGAAGCGAAAAAATTTCACAAAAATCTGACTTTCGTCTTCGACTGAAAATTAAATAGTTATCGATTAATATTTAACTTAAGCATGTTATAACTTTATTATTTTAGTTGAAAACTTACCCAGGTCTTTTATTTTTACTTTTTCCAAGAATGGATCAGCAACAGGAAGCTAAAAGATAAATATAAAATATTGAATATATACGCAACAAATACATTTCATTCAAGTATTCAACAAATACTTACTCCTCTGGAATCTCGGAACAATATTGCGGCATGTGTAGGATCTAAAAGGCCATCAGAGTTTTTCCTCGAGTTGGATATGGTACCCAGGGAAAGTCGACGGGTTTCGGGGTCTAAAGAACTTCTACGTAATAGAGCTCCTGGTAAAAAAAAAATTAAACCAATACATTATACATAACATTTTATAAGAGTAATAATTATGGAAAACATGAATTATTCATACAAGTATCATTTTATTTTAAGATAAACATCACATAATTACTTATGTATTATATTTATTCTTGTTGTTGTGCCCTTTCAATGTCAATGGGTCATGATCATAATGTACATATTTCAGACGACAATATTGAAATTAAAACGACAAATTTAATGACAACTTGTATGTCATATTACAATATGTGTAATATTATAATGTTTTTATTAGTATTTAAAGAGTAATGTTTTGAAATGTCATTATAATTCTTATAAGTACCTAGTTTATGGACATTGGCATATCCATAATTATTGTATAGGGGAAGAAATCAAAAAAAAAAATAATTTTAAACCTAAGTACCTACCTACACATTAAAATAATAAATAACAAAATATAATATAATATTTTATTTCAAAACCACAAGCAATTAAACTTATTAAACAATTATAGTCCAACATTTCATCAATTACTTCTTCAGTTCTAAAGTTGGGTTTACATTAAAGCCTGAACACGAACAAATGCTACTGAACGAACCAATGTAAACGGTCTAGCCCAATAAGTCATACGAACATAGGAGTAACTAGACCTAAAAGTTAGGGGGGCTTCAGCCCCAACATATTTAAAATAAGTAATAAATATTTGGGGTGCTCTGACCCCCCAAACTCGTCCATCAAGTAAGATTCATTATTAAATTATAATATTAGTTTATTATTATACACTGTGTGTGACATGTATAAAACAAATAATAAAAAAAGGTGGTATTAGTAGCGATAGTATTGATTAATCGTTTTTAGTAACGATAATATCGATTAATCGATGTTTTTATTAAACATAATCATCCGATGTAACTATCGATTATAACAATAAGGAATATTATTGTACCTCATTATTGAGTAATACACTAATACACTATTATACGGTAATACGGTTCATAACAGTTTTGAGATTTTTTAAACATCTAAATTAATCAAATATGATTTTGTTTAAAACTTTTAAAACAAATGATTTAAATAACATAAAAAAAACAGTTCGGAAAACAAAAAAATATAATTAATGTGCATCATACAATGATTTAACTTAACTTATTAGTACCTAGTACCTACCGACATGCGACAACTCCTATTTAGGAATTTTATCGTAAAAATAAATAATCTTGTATCGTTCAATAAACTAATATAAACTTATAAAATTAATAATAATTAATTGAACACTTCACTGCCTTTTTTTTCGTGTATAACCACTGCATGAGGGCCGTACTGTTTGCACATTGCTTGACCCTCATAATGTAGCATCGTTCATTGCCTGGTAAGATTTGCCTTACTTTTAATTATTTGTACTTAAAGAAGGACGGACATAATATAAAATCTGATTCTATGTTTACAAAAAAGGCAAAAAGCCACTAAATGGCCGGTAGGGAGTAGGGACAGCGATCGTTGTCGTCCGGTCATCGTTACTTGTTAATCGTTATCATCATTTACTAATAATCGTATGTCTTTTATGACTATTTTTGTGTCAAGTTAATTGACAACTTCTAAGTAGTATTTAAAACTACATGTATTCACGAAATAATATAGTTTCTTATAATATAGTTTGATAACAAAAAATAATAAATATTTTTCAGAGTTAATTAAAAAAATAAAACTATATTTTAAATTAAAGTTTAAAAATGTGGAATTATGACAGGGGGGCTAAAATTCATGTTGGGAGCTTAGCCCCCCCCCACAGTTACACCTATGGATACGAACGAATGCATTCGGAAACGTCCACTCCAAAGGCGGTTTGATCAAAGCGTTCAAATTAGATCGGTAGCATTAGATTTCATTCGTTCGTGTAGGGCTCTAATGTGAACTCATCTTGTTATAGGAATATGTATTTGATAGGTATGGCCATTAATCATTATCTATGGTAAATTGTAATAAAAAATTTATAATATTTTAGTATACTATCGTAAAACCCATCCGTGTATAATATTATTACAAGGATGTCAGAACACTGTTTGTTTTTTCTCTCTGGCAAATGTGCAACATAGACGAAACGCATTAATGCAGAATCATTGTTTATATATTTTAGAGTAATCTTAAAGTAAAATCAGTCATTACATAAACAATAGGAAATATTATTTTTGTGGGTATAAAATATCGATTTGACTAAATAGTAAATATTGTCTCAAAACAATTTAATCATAATTTAAATGAACACATTTTTTTTTAGATTCTGAGCGGAGTGAGGAAGCTATTGGTTTTACAATTATGGTGTTTATTTATTTATTTTTTTTATATCCTGTATACAAAATTTCTAAAAGAAGGAGTGCTTCGATTTCAACATATAATACATTATCTTTTAGCAAATTGGATCAAGATACCAACTTTAGAGAGGTGATTTTTCAATTTTATCAATAGTTATTTAATGCCACGGGAAAAACCACCGGAAAACCGCTAATAATGGGATTTTAATTTATAATGGTTTGTTGATCACCATAGAAACGAATAAAAAATAAAATATTATAATTTTAATTCAACTTACATGATATAATAACTAATAACAGTATAAAATATGTAGACTGACAAACCGTCTCAGCTCAGAATCGTTTTTCTTTGAATTCAAGTTTAATACAATCCATTATACAATTACCCACTTGTAACCTCCTGTACAGCAGGCAGAGCGACATCCACTAACCCGCTTTTTTTATTTTGAAAGTCGAATACAAAATTAAATAACAATAAAATATAAGACCGATATGTTGTCATACCCTCAAAAATATTATCCTCTATAATTTTTGTGATAGGTGATTTTACTCTAAGATTCATAAAAAAAAGGTGCTCTGCTGTACAGTAGGTTACAAGTGGGTCACTGTATAATGGATGGTATTAAATTTGAATTCAATGATATAATATCATTGTATAAAAAAAACGATTCTGAGCGGAGGCGGTATGTCAGTCTAGGTATAAGACATATTATATACTTATCTATGGTATTAAAAAAATTGACCTATAATACCTATAATAAATTCCAAATTAATCATATCACAATATCCATTAGGTACGAATAATATTATACAATCACAACAAAATAACTAAAAAAGGTTATTCTAGGTTATTTTTATGTAATTTCGTTTTTTTATTGTAATTGTATGGTGTATAGGAAATGCTAATATAAACATTCAGTGAAATTTTCATGTATCTACAGTTATTCGTTTTTGAATTATAATAAAATAAGGAAATCGCTACATGAGAAATCGAGTGTCCAACAGTGAGAAATCTAATGTTGTAAAAATTGAATTTCAAACGCTCATAAAAATTTAATTTGGCTTTTATATATATATATTTTTTTTGATAAAGGTAGATAATCCTATAAGTTATAAGGAATCATGTATTACACTTTAAAATCTTAGATTTAAAAAGAAAAATTTTTACGAATTCTTAACTCAAAATAATTTGCTAATTTTTCCATATTTTGTCAATTTTTGAACTTTAAATCCTTATAAAAAAAACCATGATTAAGGAGTTTTAATATTTTTCATCTGCCCTTGAAAAAATATACTAGGAGCCTTCTATTAAATTTTCAAGCTTTTTTAACCAAAAAATAAAATTTAATTGATATTTTTAGAAAGAAAACTAAAAAAAAAATGGAAAATGAAAATGTCCCTAAACAGTTCAAAATATTTTGAAAATGTTATCGTGTATAGAAAATGCAAATATATATAAACAACCAGTGAAAATTTCATGTATCTACGGTTATTTGTTTTAAAGTTACAATAAAAACCAAATTCAATTTTGTGAAAAATCGATTTTGCGTAAAAATTCCCGTTTTTCCTTAATTTTTCTTTTGTTTTTTTAGGCGCTTTTGAAAATGACTGTGAATTTTAAATTTTAACCTCCCCAATGCATCAATGATATTCACTTTCCAATCGAACAAGATACTGAAGTTGAAAATCGAAGCATTATTTCGCCTACTTATCGTGTACAGGCACAAAAAAAAAATAAAAAAAAACACATTATTGTAAAATCAATACATTCATCGTTCGACTTAGAATCTAAAAAACGATTTTAGGTTAAAACGTTTTATTTATGTTGTGAGTGGGTCTGAGAGGGAAAACAAAAATTCAGCTGACATCCTCTTAATATTATTATTTCTTACAACTATTGTTCTTATGTATTATTAGTCGCACGGACATGCCGTCGTTGCAGCGTTGTTATCGGCGACCGCTACGTCAGTCGGTAAAATTGTATTCTTGTATTAATAATTGTATTTATGAAATTAATGTATGATTAATGTGTTGGATACGAGTTACGGAGATACAATTGGATGTGACGAAATAAAACTTTAAACAAATCATACCGATTTTTTTTTATGTTTTATTGTGACACTCTATCACTATTTTATAGATACAAGATTGACTCTTGTATAGGAAACAATGATATATATTTTGGTATAAAATAATAAAGTAACTTATTATTGATGTGACAATAGGTATACAATCTAATGATAGTTATCAATCTTTTTATAATGGTACAAAATGCAACTTAAATATAAAATTATCATCTTCCTGATACACCTTGTACACTTGTATAATAACTGATATTAATCTAGAATAAATTGTCTCACATTTAATATTAATTTTAAAATACAAAATTACAACTGTTGATTTAAAGATATAATATGGTTATAGAGGAAAAACCGTTCATGTATAAATTTAAATGCCTGTAATCTGTATACTAGTAAATATGTACTATTGTATGATTAACCATAAAAAATTAAGACTATCTACAAAAAAAAAAAAAGGTCGATAAAGAAAAGTGATAAACTATAAATTAATTGAAGGTGTATAAATAAAAGTTCACAAACTATTAAACCTAAATTTTCCCGAAAAAAATCAGAATTTTGATTATACAGCTGATAACCAAAAATGAATAGGCATTATAATTTAAATACAGTGTTCAAAATGTATTTAGTTGTACAGTGTTATTGAGCGTAAAGAGAGTGTAGATTCACCATTGCGGTGTAAACAAAAACAAATTAACCGTCCACTTTTGTACATCCAAAGACCAATATGTTAGTAACAATAATTAAATAAAAAAGAATATCTGATAACAATTCCGCAATTAAATAAATGAAATTTTCATTTTACATATTTTATTGAATTATCAATACGATATTAAGCTCCAAATAAATTTCAAACTATGTAAATGATTGCCCACCACTAAAACGTTCTCACACTAATAAGTTATTTATTTTTTATACTAAACAAACAAATTATTTTTTTTTCATTTGAAACGAACTGTATTAATTATAATTTAAAATTAGCCATATACTTAGGTAATTAAACCACAATAATTTGGGATTTGTAGAAAAAAAACGATGCGGCGGTCACATTTAACTTTGATGAAAAATGTTACAAACACTTTATAGTATTATATAAACGACGAAATTATAATATATTATTATACTGCTCAGGTAATGTAATATATTATATAAAGCGCTTCTAATATTCCATTTCAATGAAAAGTATTTAGTAATAATTTTTTCATTTTATTAAACATTCGCGTTGTCTTCTAATATTTTAATGTAATTTTCAATTTTTTTTTGTAGTTACTCTCTCCGGGCTTACAAGAATTTTAATAATTCAGAAATTACATACGATATCTACAAGACCTTTTTTTTTATAACATATTTATAATGGTTCAACCAGGGCACAGCAAGTAGGAGAAAAAAATGAGTTTTATATAAAAACGAATTAACATCATAATCTCTATGTAGTGCACAGCATATATATGTAATTCCTATGCGTTGTAGTTTTATCAACGGTAATTATATCAAATAATGACCAAGTTTTATCATGATCTTCTTTTTTTTCTCAAGAATAACACGTCAAGTCGTAACGTTGTACACTTTACGCAATTCCAACACAAACGTCAACGCAATCAAACCAAAGAATAAACAGCGCGGACGAGACGAACACGATTTTATGACGTCCTCTCGGAGACAAAAAATTCGAGAGTAAAAATTTAAATACACACAGACAGCTGAAGGCGTGCGCATTTTCTCGACACAATAATATTTATAACAGACATGTTTAATGATCTACGCGGATAGTGATACTTATAATAAACGTTTTTTAGTGTCTAGAAAAACAATGCGAATTGTACCTATCTGCATTGCAGCGACGTAGGATTTGACATCTTCGGTTAATCGATTAATGTTATTAGTAGTTATTACTTATTTACCCTTCGCACGAAAATGGCTCCTTCGTCATCGCAGTGGACTTATCGGTTGTTACCGTATATTGAAACATTTGAAACCGGTTGCGTTAAACCAGTTACAAAGTTTCGTGTATTACAGCGACCACAAAGCACATTTAATATTATATCAACAACAATCACATTAGATCTGTATTCCGTGATTTCCTTCTTTTTCTCGTCCGGTTGAAGCGGAGTGAAAATAAAAATAAAACCGAACAGTACCTAATCTCAAGGACTTGCGTTCACAATGGCTATAATAATAAATTACTTGTTGGTGTTATTATTTACATAATGTATAATATGTGTACAATAAAACGAGCCTTTGCGTTTTATTTTTGCCTCCATGGTGCCAGGTGAGAATTGTATATAGTACTACAACAGCGGTTTACGGGGGTTCTCATAACATGGAAACGTGATATTCTGCATTAAGGGTTTTCACTATATATTCCACGTACAGTGAAAACTGGATATAGGCCATAATACAATGTTTACCCTAGAAGCGTACTCAGATATTTCTGAAAAGGTTCACCCCGTGTGTACGCTATTTGGTAAATTTTTGACGGCTAAATTGTTACGAATATTGTTAGCAATCTAACCACATTTATAATTACCCTAGAATCACTGTTGTGGTTGAGGTAACAATTTTCTTTTATAGGCACTATACATTAGCCCAATCCATCTAAATATGTGTTTATGACTGTATATGACTACAATATACTATATAGATAACATAACCTCTGCAAGACGAGAAATACATTATATTTTGAAACTAGAGATGTACATGGTCACGGATATAATATTATATTGGGAACAGGTGTCCGGTGATAACAATATAATATTAGTGTTATAACTTATAACTTATAGTAAATCGACATCGATCGCGGAATAGAGTGCAAATAGCAGTTGGGTCGGAAACGATATGCGTCGATGACCGGTTAAAAAAAAAATCGAAATCAAATTTCAAGGTCGCTGCGACCACCAATACACGTTTCTTCAATGTTCCGTGTCACTACAGTAATACTATGCGTATATATTATATCATAATATTATACGTACGATATTATGCGAAAGGTGACCATAACAATATTGGAGAACTATACATAGTAAATAATTAGACCGATACACCGCACAATGGACATTATTATTATTATTATTAATCGGTGTGAACTTTATTTTTCATTTTTTTTTTTTTAAGACGCGTAGACTTCGCACTCGACAGAAAATAATAAAAAATATTATAACGCCAGCGAATGGAATATAATAATATTATAGACAGTAAAATTACTTTCTTTGTATAAGCCTATAAATTATATAAAAGTATGGGACCGGCTACTGCAAGGATGTAGCAATAGTATACTACTTCCTATGTGTATACCGTATGTAAGTGTGCATTTGGCGAGTGCAGGTGAATGCGATACTACGGTGGAGAAATCATTGAAATCGTAGGTAGCCTTTCGTATACCATATAGGTATCTGGTATATATTATTATATAAACAAATACGTCGGCGGTCACCGGTCGGTACACGTGATTTTTCTTATATTTTTCCATTATATTTATTTATTAAGATTATTTCATTTCGTTTTTATTTTATGATTATTATGACAGATACTCCTGAAACGACATCATTAATGTTTCTAAGGTTTATTGGGCATCGAAAGCATAAATGCATAATTATTATCAATGTATACAACGTCTTCGCGAATACCATAATATCATTAATTTGTTTTACTAAAATATAGGAAACGGTTGATCTTGGATTCGATGACAAAAGTTTATAACGCTCAGAGAAGAACATGGGAACACGGGTGCCAATTGCTCGCAAGCAAATAATCTATATCGTAAAACTTTCGATCACACATACGGAATAGCAAAATTACCTATACATTCGATTAACCAATCAATATCGATTGGGTAGTAGGTGAACAAATTTTTTATTTCGGTAGTACAATAGGATCTCCTGCAAAAGATAGGTAGGTACCAACAAAATTTAAATCGTTGAAATATAATATTATATGACTTAGATCAATAATATGTATTGAATAATAACATTTAAATATATATTAGGTACTGATTACTATTACCGAGACTTAGGGAGATATGGGACCAAGGAAACACACAGTATAGTTTGTTTCTCAATAATACTTAACCGTCTTAACATCTTAAACGTCTTCCTCACACTCTGTGCGATTCGATTTGAACGCTCTCTGATGTTATTACTATTAATACCTTCTTTCAAAATGCTCTCGAATATCTTATACGCGTCGCCGCTGTCTAGCCGCTGTCGAGTCGAGCCGGACTGTTGCTGCAGCAACGTTTTTCTGGTGCCATCGTCGAGCGACTTAGACCTGTTCCGGAACTGTCCGTCTTTGGGTACGTCTAACAGACACGATTGATGACCGGTCACCTGGGTCACCGCCGTTGTCATAGACGGCAATTGCTGCTGCGGCGTCGGCACCATAAGCGCAGTGCTCTTGGTGACGGTCAGCGGCGTGGCGCTATTCTTCGAGGTACCGGTAAGCGCACGGTAAGCGTCGTGCAGGAACGATGTGCGCGGCGACGACCGCCTGCTCGGGCTAGGCGACCGGGATGACGGCGACATCGTGTAAACGTTCTTTGGCATCGATTTTGGAGCGATCGGCTCGTCGTCCGGTGGCGTGATGTGGCACACCACATGCGGCTTGGGCATCGCCAAACGTATCGGCTTGGCTGACTCCACTTCCATCGTTAGGCGTCTCACCACCGTATGCCACAGTTAAATATATTACTATATTATATCATCGACGATCGTTCGCGAAAAATAAAATAGTATCCCCGTGGACTGGACGACGGACTTATATGATTATAAACTAAAAAATTGTTTTCCTTCGAGTATTATTCGTTAGCGTACAATATTATAAAAACTATATTGTGTGTACGCACACCGTTCGGTCGGTTTTGCGTGTAAGTAAACAATAATAATATTATCTTGCAGTGTACGCAGAAAATTACTAACGGAATCGATGTACGGAGCGGCGGTTGTACCCGACGACTGCAGCGAAACGTGCAGCAGTGTAATTTAGCACGGCACAGTGCTGGCCTGACGCGCGCGCGCGAGAAAAACGAGCGTGGCGAAAAACGTGCGCGTACGACTGGTTTGAAAAAACCAAGCTCGGCGACCTGGGCCACTGTGCTCTACCACCACGACCGGTCGGCCGGCCACCGACGCTATAGCGGCGGTGGCATTTCCTTCTCCCGACCAGCACGAAAATAAGAGCAGGGGAGGGGCCGGCCGACGAAGCAGGGGACGAAAGCGACGCGCGACCGGTCCCACGTAGACACAAACAATATTATGATATTCCAATATACAATAATATTATATTATGTTTGGTTCCGATCGACTTTGACCGGGTATGTGGTTTGCCGGCACATGTGTAATAATAACAATATTATAATATAATATTGTACTATTATTATGTAGGTAACCGCCTACGAGATCAGTACTGCAACGAGCGTGGCGCAGCGTCAAAGGTCAATGACGAATACATTTTCATTTATTTATTATGGTGAGGCAACTCGGGTACACACACTATATTATATATTATGTATAAAATATTATATATATAAACGGCGAACTTTAGAACCAAATACAATTGGTAAGTATAAAGGTCGGGAAATTCTTTTTCTAGATATATTATTATATTTAAACGCATAAATTATAATAATAAAATATCGGGTTTCACAACAACCGTAAATCACGAGTATGCAGCCTACCGCTGCAATACAAATGTATTTGTTACTCAAATACAGTTTGAATCGTTTACAGTTTTACACTGTCGAATAGGCCTTTTATTATACATATTAATATAATATTACTTGGTATAAAATGTCAATAGATAAAACATTATTATAATATAAGACCAGCAAAACAAGGGCAGTAATCGAGACTAACAAAAGAAATGTCAAATATCAAAGTTTTTATTAGTTTATGAAAAAAAAAAATTGTACCTATGTAATTAATATTATATAATACAGTCTAAATACCAGCTGTACGAGAGTTCGGAGTTATACATATATTTGGAGATACCTACATCTGGACCATTATTTACCATCAACATTATTATACGAACTGGGGTTGATGAATAGTGTACCGAAATAATTTGTTGTTATTGAAGTGGGAAATTTGGGTTCATAATCAAAATGCAGGTAATAATACGACCAAAGAAAGTTTCGTGCATCTCAAAAAGTTAGTTAACTATTGGTTTTCTCGATTTTCTTGATTATTATAATTTATCATTAACACGGTAATTTAACCCTATCGTACAATTTTTTATTTTAATAGATTTACATAAATTTATAAAATGTACTAGGTACTTATATAATAAAACCTTGTATAGTAAAATATTTATTCTGCGTAAATTAACAAATCTTTAATTTTACAATAGTATTAATAGTTTTTTAAACCCTTGTTAAGTACTTCGTTATTTATTATTCAATGGAACTAGCCCTTTTACAGTAAATAATGTGGTATATACGTAGGTAACCTAATACACAATAATACAAGAAATATTAAATAACATGTAGAATAATAACTGTAGGAAAATTGCAAAATCAGATTAATTGGACTAATGGCCTAACAATATCGACAATAATCCAACACACGAATACAAGTATTTTCAATAATTAACTAAGAATTTTGATTTAAATAATCAAATAAATATGGACATTATTAAATAAAATATAATTTTCTAGTATGCAGTTTAAATATTTAACGGTTGAATAAAATCAGCCTAATTTGGAAGTCCTCACAACTAGAAATATAGATTTCATAAGTACCTCAAACTAAAGCATAAAATAACCTTTTTTTTTTATTAAAAAACAAGAATATTATTTTCAATCTGTAATATGGAATACATACAATACAATAAGTAATAGGGGGGTACAGTTTACAGGACGGTACGGCATACAAGAAGGGAGGGGGTACAATGACCCTACTTCAAGAAAATAACCTTATACAATTAAATTGAAATAATACGTCATGTTATAATAAATATTATAGACAACAACTTTATAATATCCCAGTAGGCAATAAGATAATTATAACGAAATGTAATTATTTTTAATATTTGTTAATATAACTGATAAAGAAATATCAATCTTCTATTTGACATATCATAGTTCATACAATACATTATAATTTTATTATATAAGCTTAAGAATATAAGATAGAACGTGTTTATAACAAACGTTTTAATATTATTAGTTTAATTTTCAAATGTTTATAGAATTAATTAAACTCATTTATATTTTCACATAAGTATTTGTATAATTGTTAACATTTTCTTTTAAATAAAATATGTACCTACTTTTAAACACGCAACATTAAGAATTCAAATTTTCACAAAACTTTCTTTAAGTTGTTGAAATCTTTTAACCCTAAACACTTAATAAAAAACATATAGAAATAATTTTTTTTGTTTATGATGATTTACTACGCATTTTTGGGACAATAAATACATTTCATTTAAGATTTTGAGCGTAGTGATGAATGTATTGATTTTACAATGATGTTCTGTTTTTATTATTATTTGTGTTTGTTTTCAAAGTAATTTTCAAATGCTTCGAGGAAAACCATAAAAAAATTAAGGAAAAACGGACATTTTTAAGCAAAATCGGTTTTCGACAAAATCGATTTTGGTTTTTGGTGTGGTTCTAGAACAGCCATACTCAACCTTTTTTTTTTATTTGGGCCACATAAAATATTTTAAAATACTACGCGGGCCACAGCCCACAAGTCGAAATTAATGGAACGGAAATAATAAAAAAAAAACTAGCCAATTTCGAGATAAGATAAAATACATCAACATCGTTATAAATAGAGAAAATACCAAAAACATAATCATCCTCATCGCAAGTGCGTGCGACACACTTTGATTGTTTTGTTACATTTTATATATATAATAATATTAGTTTTGAAATTTATATTTTTTTATCAATTCAATGGGTTCTGTGAGGGCCACATATGAAGTTGGAGTGCCGCATGTGGCCCGTGGGCCGTAGGTTGAGTATCCCTGTTCTAGAACATATTACAGTAGGTACATGAAATCTTCACTCAATGGTTATATTAGCATTTGCTTGCGACATCAGCTTGCCTTCCTTTTTTTAGTTAAGCATATTAGTTATTAGATAGTAATTTTAAAGGAACGGTAATGTATCGGATAATTATAATAATTAATAACTGAAGAAAATATATCTGCAGAATACAAAATTGACAAACAATTATAATTGTTTATCTAGTATAGAATTTATTTAATTATTACATTTTGAAGTATAACAATTAGACGAACAAAAAAATAACCCTGAAATCGAAATAATTAAATTACTGTCAGATAATGTAATATAATATAATATTATATTGAACTTCAATTTTAGTATTTACTTTTTACAGAAATGTCCACTTAATCCCAAAATACCACAACAGATACCTGCGAAATTAAAATTATGGAGAATATTGATCAGTGATCACTACATTAAAAACCCATCATCTCGCATTATCATAAATGATACCTACCTATCTAGCTATGCTATAGAAAAACACATGATTATAACTTCGGTGATGGGTACTTAGATTTGAATTAGTTATCTCTGGCTATCACATTACTTTTTGTATGACCGATGAAGAGCTCTGGGTCGCCGTCGAATTCTTTGACCTATTATCAAATTTACATTATACACAATACATAATGATAATATAGGCTCGTAAAGTAAAATGTTTTCCAATTTCTTAATTTTAAAAGGAGGCAGATATTACGTTTAACTTTTCCATTAGAAAATTATATAATCAGCGTCTGAGGTATAGCTATTAAATTTTAAAATATCTCATACATAATACACATCAATATAGAAAGAGTATTATATTAAAACAAGGTTGTTAAAAGGGTTATATTAATTATGTATAATTTAGATTGTTTCAGAAAAAACATAAGAGTATTATTGATTTGAGTGGGGAGGGGGGAGGTGGAGGATAGAGGTTTTGATAGGTATTGAGATTTAATTATTGTCTATTTTCACATACTACTAGTAAATTAAAAATATGGGAAAAATTCAAACGCTGTACGAGATACAAACGCCGCAGTGTAGTAAACCTACTTATCTAAATATTTAATAGTGGGTGCTATAGATAGGTTAATTAAGTCTAAAATCAAGTATTAACCAACCGGTTGTAAGCGAAAAGGAAGTTGTGTGTGTTATTTGGTATATAGTGGACCAATATACCATATTATAACAAATTGTCGCATGGCGTAGCCTCATACATCTCGCACATTTATCGATATCATTTATGCATTTAGTACGAATACCAACTATACGATGAGTGAATTCTCAAAAGATTACTGATTAGTGTGTAACGTATGAACATGCCAACATGCGTACATTATGTACTATAGTATATGGGTAACTACATCCAATTTAATCGAAAAAATTTGTAAATTAGCATACAATATGGTTTGTAGATGAAATCGAAACTAAGTCTTATTTTTCAGTATTGCGGTGCCAAGATTCGATTTTATTTACAAACGATTTTGGAAACTAATTTATTAATTTTTCAGATCAAATTGTATGTAGTTATTATAAGTACTATATAATAAAAATATTCAAAAGCACACATTAGTTTGTTCAAAACACTAAAAATAAATATTAATATATTATATTGTTTAGTTAAAGTACCTATGTATACTTAACCAGTGGTACTCAACCGGTGTGCCTCGTAATACCGTGATGTGTGTCCGCAAAAAAAAAAAAAAATAATTTATTTTTATTGTTCATTTTTAAAGTATAAATATATAACATTATTATGACGTTATGAAGAGATGGTAAAAACCAGAAAAGAAAAACAATTGTGAAGATAGTACCATCCTCAATTTACATAATATAGGTTTACAGTTGTTAATTTTTTAAAAATCCATTAATTGTTTTAAGCGTGTGGCCATTTTTATGGATCTAAATTAGGTTGTCGTCGTAAAAAAAAGGCTAGGAAGCACTAAACTATACATTTATAAATACATTTAAATTATAAAATAATGTTTTAAAATCGCAGACGTAAATACTTCTTAGGGCCGTATGACCGTATTCATAGTCGATGCTTAAGAATAAGTATTGCTTAACCTATACTTATGACTCAAATGAGTTTCATAAACGACTTTAGCTTTTAATAGGTTACAAGATTATCACAATATTATGATTGTAGTTTCTAATTTAATATTAGAAATAGAAATTTGGAGGTTAAATTATTGACAAATTACCTAAATAAATGAACAAATGTTACCACGCAGCGAAAAAATAATCGTATTCAACCAACACAAGAATACGGCGTCAGTATTAAGTGGAGTCAAAATCCATTGATTTCAGTCTATGATAAGTTTATTATAGTTGCAATAAAACGGTTTGTTTAAAATAACAACAAATTTAATCTCTATTAATATTAAAACTATAGAATGAAATGTATTTAAATGTATAATTTATATTACCTTTAAATAAATTATTAAAAATGATACAACACTGTGTGACGTTAGGTTACCAGACTGAATACCAAAATTCACAGTTGACGCACATTTTTAAGCATATACTTCAGAATGATATTAATAGACACGGTAAAATGTAAATTATGACTATTTTGGTTTTTGTTAGTCATGTCAATTGTTAAGTAAATGTATTTATTTATGAAAAAAAAAACAATTTTTGAACACAGTTAGAAAATTGTATCAAACTTTTCCATAATTAGTTTTAATCAAGTCACGTACCCAAGTAGGATTAATTAATTTCTGCTGTGGGGACATTTTAATCGGATTTAAAGCATTTAGATCCAGATCGTTTTGTAGGCACCACTCAAATAAATATTTAAATTGAAATGTAGAGAAAAATTATTGGATTAGACGTAAAACACATTCATGTAAAAGAATAATGAATTTCTACATTGCATTCAAATTAAGTTATTAAAAGGGTTGATAGATAGAATATTCTAATCTTTCTAACTACAATGATTGTTTGAATATGCTCAGCGCCTCAGCCATGTAGATTAATTTAACCATTTAGACAGTATTTTTTTTTAATTAAGTCATTTCGAGCGTGGCCACTCTAAAGGACAGCATATGCTGCATAGTGGCCAGGTGGCTACTTTGCGCAGCAAATTTTTCTATTAATTGTCATAAAATGTTATTTAAACCATTTTTGGTAAACCAAATGGGTAAATGGACATTTTCCCCCTGATATATTTTTGATGAGGAAAATTTCCCCCCCATTTTTTTAAAAGTTCATTATTGACCAATAATTTATACTATTGAATTTAATAATATTATACTATATTTATTATTTAATATAAAATTATTTTTTTCAAATAAAATATAAAATATAAAAAAAATAAATATAATAGATTATAAATGTATATAGGTAATATGTTTGATCAACTGAAGGACTGAACTACTTGAAACAATACAAATTCACCAAATGGATTTATAATATTGTACCATGGTACATGGATGGTTGATGGTTGAAATATACAGGTTATTGCATATTGACTCGGATTTGTGTCATCCGGAACAAAGTGGCTGCGTAAAGGGATATTATACAAATAGCAATTTTTCTTATCATCAAAAACAAAAACAAAAGCTGACAAATTCAAAATCCCGCGCATGTATATATTTTGATTATTACTGGCCCGCTTACGCTGCTATTTTTGTTTTTATCATACAATATTTGATTGAGAAGGGGTATGCAAAAACACTGTATATTTCAACCATGTATTGTACACAATATAATTCAAGTTAAACTATACTTAGGCCTATTAATATCTTTTCAGGCAGGTTAGGCAATGGTTTTAATTTACATCAAATTATTTTAAAATCAATATAAAATTAAATGATAAAATAATGGTAAGCAAAATTAATTTATAAAATACCACCTTGTTTATTATGGTTTATCTAAATTTACTTTAAGCTGATCAATTGATAACATTACACTTTACTCAAACACTAGATTTGATTCTAAAGCAACATAATTGACGTCAGAGATTAAAAACTTTTATAATCTTGACCCAATGACATAACCTATCATTTTCGTCATCTTAAAATAAACAACAGCAAGAACCAAATTTTTACTACCATACAAATTAAAAATTAAGTGGTTTAGTATTTGCTATGTTAGATTAATACATTTTAGGTACTCACCTTGTGCAAAATTTGTATGTGGAATATTGGCTGCTCTCTGTAAAATAAGACAAAAAACAAAAAATATTTTAGTTCCAGTAAGAATATGCAGTGAAGTTCAGAAAAACAAGGTCAAGTACCTATTTATTCAACGTCAATTAACAGATACTCATATTATTATATCAAGTCTTTCTTGTTTCAACAGTAACCCAATCAAATAAATAACTTGAAAATTCACAAAAACATTATAGTATTTATTTAATACATTTAATTGTATTAAATTACACATTTTTTTATCCATTTTAATAGTGTGATTATTTTTTTATGATAAAAAAAAGATAAATTTCTTTTAACGTTATTTGTTTATATTTCTCAAATACATGTATATAAACAACGTATGTATTAAATGATATTACAATTATTACATTTATTAGTTATTACCAATAATCAATAAATATATTTTAATATAAAATATAAAATATCCAACATAATTTAGATATACTTATTTGGGATAATTACACAATGTGTATAACAACTAAAAATACTACCTAGTAATATTATGGATACATTGTTTATCATAGAAAAAAAAAGTATATATACTCAATTATTCGAAATCCGACTATTAAATAGCAATTTACTATCAGTATCATTACTCATTATTCATTAACAATTAATTTTATTTAAACAACTCCTTTGTAGTATAATAACTGATAATCTGTATTATTACGTATTGAAATATACACAAACACAAATATAACAGATTAAATTAATAATGAATGTATGATGATAATTTCTAATAATTATTATTATTCGTAATTCATAAATATTAAACCTTCCCCCAATCCCTACCACAAGCCGCGCAAGATATATAGAAATCTAAAATGTAATATATATTATTTATCGGGTGAAATTTGTAAATTTTTTATATTATATAAAAACTATTGTATATGATCTGAAGCTTTATTTTTCTTATGACGATGGACGGTTAAGTACACAACACGTCAACACACATACTCAAAATAACATTAGAGGATTATAGATTTTAACTATTATAAATTACAGATTAAAAGTTATAATTTATTAGTTTAATAATTATTTTCTGATGGGGGGAGGGTTGACCAACAAAACCCCTCTTGCATTATTTACATACCCAAGAACTGCAGTGGGGTATTATAATTTTTATCTCACCAATCAAAGTACGAAAATTTGATTTATCACCATGTAAATGCAAGGACTATAACATGTATGTTACACAATTAGGAATAATTTCAAAAAGCTTATTAAGCAAAGTAATAAAACCAATAAACATATATTTTATAACCTACAGAATTATTATTAATAGTGTGCTGTTAATTTGATATTAGAGTGACTTGACCAACTATCAAACTTTTAGGTAAGAACATATATTATCTATGTGCTTCAGCCTCAGCATTTATTCGATATTTTAATTTTCAAGCGAAATTGATCATTCTTAATTTTTGAAATTTTATATACTTATATCATTGCTTGAACATGAAAATATCAAAAAATCGTCGATGCTTAAGCACAAATAATGTTCTTACCTAAAAGTTTGATAATAAGTCAATTCACTCTACTATCAAAACTATAACAGCACACTATTGAAACTAGATAGCGAACATTTGCTATGTCGTACGTGTGTAAGACGGAGACAACAAATGCATGGGTATAATAATATATCCTCTCAAGTAATACGCATAACAACCGAATACGCGAATATTATAAATCTATAATATTATGGATAGTAAAAAATGAATATATTACTATACATTACACGCTTATTAGGACTTATTATCTTCAAGAAGTAATACACAAAACTATAAAATATTATAGGTAACTCATAAGTATTAACTATAAATACCTAAATATTACAAATAATATAACAATGAAATAAAACACAGATTTATAATTATAATATTCGGTAAGATTAATAATTAATACAGAAGTAGTTTTGATATCATTATTTGGTATCACTACGGCACTACCCATTGCAGAACCGATATTTATTAGTTGAATGCATCTTATAAAAAATGAATTAAAATTTACTTTTAGATAAGT